TTATTAATATTACAATAATAATAGGCTGATTTTTTTCTTTTGTCCGGGGCCTCAAAAATTCTAAATCAGGCTCTGTTACAAAGGAAAATCAAAGATGGACATTGTACATATTATTTATTAATTATTACAGTTATCACTTTGAACTTACCCTAGCGTACAAGGTTATAGCACTTATAAGTGAGAGTGACTTGTTTGGTTGAACAACTAACAATATTATGTAAAAAAAAAGAATCAGGGATTCAGTATTTTGAAAGTAGCATAAAATCATATCTTACAGGAAAATAAGGTCTTGATGCAAATCCGCAAATAACATATAAATACAAGGCCAAAGTGGACCCATGTCTTCTGTGTGACAGCTCAGTGCAGTGGCGTAATTACGGGGGGGGGGGGGATTTGGCTGTTGTATCCCTCCCATACATGTTACAATGGTTGTATTAAGCAGAGCTTATGATACATACAAAAAAAAAATTGAAGGAGGGAGGGGTTGATGAGTAAGATGTATGCAATTTTTATTTTAAAAATTGCACCTCTCAATCACAATCCTCCCCCCACAAACATGACCAAAGTACGTCACTGGCTCAGTGGACCGTAGCCTAGAAATAGCTCACCTGTAAGATTTTGGAAATACACCAAAATAAAAGTAAAGAAAAGTTGTAGTATACTGAGAAAAACTTTTTGTACAAATAGGAGACGAAAAGTTTCAAATAAAAATCTCAAAAAATCGAATTGTAAGTATGTTTTTTTACTCATTTCGTTACATATTTTAAGAGTTCTTGTCCCTTCGGCAGTGAAAAATGTTCGGTGCTGCCCCAGCAATCGATTCAGGTTTCCCACTTATGTACTTCAAAATTAAAACTCTTATATTGTTACACTTACTTAATTCTTATGTATAGGAGCTACTGAAGACTGAGCTACATAGTTAATGTTCCTAGTTTCGATTCAAGATGTTTTCCTCGAATCTGGATTCTAGACTAACTACGGATACCAGATGACAATTATCATATACATTCGACTGTCGACTCGACATGCCGATACGCGATCACTTGTTAACTTGTAAGGTCAATCGAAAGGCGTACGCGGTACGTGTAAATACATAATACGGCTAGAGTATATAGCCGGCGCACTACACAGGAGAACAAAAACTGACCAAGATCGATGGGATAAGTTCCGGAAGAAAAAAAGAAGCGACAATAGCAATATACATGTAGTCATAACGATAATGTGCGTCGAGTACCTGAGTAAAAGCAGGTGAATAAGGCAAGGTAAGGCAAAAAAGAGCCTATAATATTATATACATATATGTTGCGGTGGACCGCCCAGTAATGAATGGATCGGCATTTCCGGCCGTTTCATTCACCGTTTTCTCTATGCGCGCGCTTCTCTATAAAACCATCCAGATTTTCATTTAAAAACAGGTTCCGATTTCATGTGTATGCGTGCGCTATTATCATTATTTATTATATTACATACATTGTAAAATCTAAAGAAAGAAAAATCGACCGTTAACGTGCGCGTGAGGGATGCTCTTGAATTTCAAAAAACCTTCCGTAGGGATACGCCCAGAACACGACAAAACCATGTCAAGATATTTTTAACGGAATTCCGAAAGACAATAACCGTAAAATCGTTAACAGTAATGTGGGAAATTTGAATACCACAACACGATGATATTGAGAAAAATAATGATACGCATAGAATTTATTATTCTATATAAATTTAAAAAATAATTATTTTACCTACTTACCAATTAGGTACTTTCTCGGTGTCACTCATAATCTATCTCTAAAACCATTTATAAAAAATTATTACCAGGTAGCATAATATTTAGATGGTAAGAAACAAAAGGGTACACGTGATTTTCATACAGTTTTACAGGAGATCAAAATGAAAATTATATTTTCAATGACGTGTTGTTATGACCGATGTTCATAGGCATGGATGTTTCCGCCGAAAATAATTATAATTTAAATTATTCGATGAATTGACAAATAAGAATTAAGATTTCACATCAGTGAATCGCGGATTTGAATGAATATCAAGGAATTAATTTTCAGGCAAAATAAACAAACACAATTGATGATCTGGCTGTTTTATCTATTTTTGTTTTTTATGATTCTACTAATGGCCATTATTTGTTAAAAAAAAAAGTGTTTGGTTTCAGTAAGTATATAATAATTAAGTTTATCATAATACATTATGTATTAAAATACAAATTTCAATTTTTAAACTATTGGACAAAAATCTCGCATATGTGTTTACTAATTTTGTCTTAACTTTTAAAGTTAATTCCTATATAAATAATTTAAATCTTTGATCTACTGATGTCAGATGTGACATCTTCTTATTAGACAATCCATTGACGAATTAGAGTAAGATACGGTCTGGCGCAAAAGGGAGACCCTATCTTGTTTGCCGAAACAGGGAACATTTTTGGAACAAAATAATCTCACCCGTGATCACTAGTTATTTTTAATGCCTTATTTAAAAATAAATGTAAAATTGTGAAACAAATACAGATTAAAAACATAGCCATTAACAAAATATTTTGTGATTAAAAACTTCAATTTGAACAAATTATCAGTTCTTTTGATTTACTTTGATTATCACTTTAATTAACATTTCCTAGCTACTTTTTTTATTTTATTTTTTAAAAAGCTAGCTTTAACTTTCAAGCAAATACTATAAATCGTTTATATTATTTGCCAGCTTTTTACTGTCCTAAATACAAACTACTTTTTTGTTAGAAATGATCATGAAAAAATTGTATTATTAAGGGAAACTCCGCCAGTTAATAATTATTTTTATATAGTCCCCATTTGGTCCGAAAATGTCATCTGGATGAACAAATAGAACTGTGGAAGTTCCATAACCCTATGTTAAGGGACGTTCAAATAAATTGCCTAGGTAGTTTCTAAATTAAAATTGTAACCTCAAACCAAAACTTAATCATTTTTAAATAAATGTATTAACTTAATACATTTTAATTCATAAATTAAAAATTTGCATCTATTAAATTATGGTAAAAATCGCCAACAGGCAACCAATGTTTAACAATTTTGTTGAATAGTTTTCTGTACTGGCCACGCTACGTTGGCATTGCAAGCTCACAAACATTCTACAAAAAGTATCTGTTTCGGTTATACATGTTGTGTATTTTTTTTTTATTCTGTACCCACTGATAACTTTTAAAATACTCTACTGATTTTTCTGAGCAGCAAATCGATCGTTTAGACACAAATAAAGCCTGCTAGGCGCCAATTGGCGCTCCAAGGCTAAAAAAATCTGGTCTAAATGTGTTAAAATTAAATGTAATTTCTCCACTACACGGAAAACACAAAATCATGGATATTTCATAAGTTTTCCTCTCCCCTCCCCATCTCTGACCTATCCCACGATGTCACAAAATTACCAACTCAAAATGGTCTGGTATAATTGGGAAGAAGATGCTAATTCTAGATGGACCACCAGCCCAAAATAAATGGCCTAATAGGAAATAATTTTTATGTTATACAGAAAAATCGCTTTGAAATCAATATAAATACATTTTAATATTTAATTTAATTTAAAACATCATACAAAATTTGTCATAAATATAATTAATATTAAAAAAAAAAAAGGAAAGTAAATTATATTTCAGCTTCGATGTGATGCTGAGAACTGAGAAAGTCTTGATTCTACAATAAGTGCTTCTTTTAAATAAATTGCGAATTTTAAATAAAATATAAAATTATTCAGTTTCTATTTTTTGTGGCTAAAAATCGTATTCGTAAAACGTGGACTTGTCAATTAATATTTTAAGTATAGTAAATTAATAATTAGTAATACATATTGTCAGATACGGTCTGAACAGTTAATGCCGTTCATATTATTATAAATATAAAACATAATAATAATAGTACACCTACAATCGCTGGTACACATCATAATACACAAAGTAAGGAGTATTTTTTGTAGACAGCTTCCTAGGTGTTACCCAAAGGCAAGGCGTCTTTTACCATTGACATCTCCGTACCCCCACCACCTGTATGAACTAGTAACTATAACGGCCAGCCACCACCACCGCCACTATAACAACCCCGAGGGTTTACTGTATACACTATGCATATACTGTCTATAACGCGTTCCCTTCAACCACCACCAACCCAACGATGTACGGCGGCCGTCTTAAAAGAGAAAAAAGATACCTGAGTGATATACCATAAGGAATAGCGTTTTCAAGGGTCGAGTCAGTATTCGTCCAGGGTCTAAGTCGACTACAAGTGTGATTCCTTCGTCCCAGATCCTGCAATCGCCTTCCTTTGGATTCAAACAGTTGTCATCATAATATATCAAGTAAGATTACGAATTCATCTATAAACTTTATTTGTGGATTTTCGTTTGACCTAATACTACTAACGAACACTAAGCAAAAAATTATCACCTTCATCTACAATTAGATCATCATCTACATACAAATTTAAATGCATGAAATTAAATAAATAATTATCACTCACTCATAAAATTGATTTGGTTAAAATTTAAATGTTTTATGTTCAACTGTTAATGAGCTTTTGAGACAGTTGAGTTTTAATTAAATATCTACTTTTTTTTTAATTTCACTATTAAGATATTCGTCTGTTAAAACACTCCAATTTTGGCTATTACTAGTAAGTAGCGCAATTTGGGGCAATGTAGGGGGCTATGCCCTCTGAAACATCTGGAGACCCTTTGAGATTATAATTATAGCGAATAAGTTTTCGATTGCCGATTGGTACTATACCTACTAGGGTTTTAAGGCTTGATCCTTCCCAATACATTTTTTTCCAGGTTGTTAAATGTTAGGTTTAAGAAATTAGTCTATAAACATAATTAGAAGACTAGAGTAATTAAATTTAAAGTTAACTTAAAAATTAACAAAAAAAAAACATAAAAGTATAGAAAAATATATGCTTATTTATATTACTAATATGATATATACACTTAATTCAATAAGTAAATTATTGACTTATATATTACAGGTAACAAAAATGTGCCATACCACTATTTCCGATATTGAAGACAATATTGACGACACTTCCTCCTCAACCTCTTTTTCGGTCAGTAAAAGAACTGGTAAACTTATCGAACCCCGAAAGGTAAGGGAATATTATATTAGATACATATATTTTATACAGGCAATAAAATTAATTTTGTTTTTTTCAGATAAGAAAACCGTTGATGGAGAAAAAACGGAGGGCGAGAATTAATCAAAGTTTAGATGAGCTCAAGCGAATTGTAGTAGACGCCGAGAAACTCGTGAGTTTACAAAATCGTTTGTTAATTATATCATAAATCATAATAAATATCAACAAATTAGTTCCAACACAATTATTAAAAAAAAGTTTTTAAGCTTTACTAACTTAAGGTAACTCAATAACAGTCTCGAAAAAAATGTAAAACAGAAATTTTGTCAGTTTTTGAATTTGAAAAAAACGAATTTTTTGCACACTTAACATCCAAGTCCAACAGCCAAAATCGAATTTCGCCATTGTTATCAGCGTAAAAAATGACGTTTCCACACAAATTTTTTGATAAATTAATTTTTATTTGGAACAAATTAAATATTTTGTAATAAAAATAAAATAAACAATTTTCTTATTTTTGCGTTAACAATTGTTGTAAATTTTTGGGGGTGTTTTTAAGGTATATTAAACTTTATTTGTTCTACATCACATTTATTAAAACATATTTTTATCATCCCACAATATAAAAAAATCACTATTGTATTTTATTTTTAGAATGGGCAAGAAATTTCAAGGGTAAATAAGTTGGAGAAAGCTGATATCTTGGAAATGACAGTTAGGTACCTAAAACGTCGTCCGATGTCAACGCCATCAGGTTCAGACTTTTACCTTGCCGGTTTTAAACAGTGTATCGACGAGGTCCAAGAGGTAATAACAGAACATTGGACAATTGGAAAGTCACAATCGGGAAATCGGATGGTTGAACACCTTCAAAAGTGCATGCAACGACTAAGTTCACCTGAGAAACATCCAACACCAAACGACTCGAATAACCTCTCCACAATACAGTCTCATTTCAATAGCAATAAAATTAAAATGGTAGAACAATCAAGGCATACAGAATTTGAAGAGACTTCCAATACAATGTGGAGGCCTTGGTAATTTAAATATGTTAATTAATATTATTATTCTGGTGTTACTTCCAAAACTATATTCTCTTTTTGTTGTTATGTTAAAAATATTGTAAAAATGTATATAAATAATGTATACCACTGAATTGCTTGGTTTATTTATTTTATTATAATATTAAACTCTTATTAATTATTATATAATAATCACAATTTAAAAAAAAGTTATGTGCCGATCAATTTATTATATTAGATATAATATTATATTTAAAGTAATTTTACAATGCAAAGTTGCCTTTTTGAAAATTATAACAGTTAATTTTAATCAATAACTTATTTCTACATGGATTTTAGAGTGAACATAAATTGTATCATTTTGTTTTTGAATATTCTTATCTAATCTATACTGTGTTTCAAAAGAGAAGACACCAGCGCAGAAACTAAAACGCGTTACTCCTGGCTGTGCAATACAGGTACTGCGGAGTTGGGAGCATTGCGTTTTAGTTTCTGTTCTTTTGGAACGCAGTATAGTAATATAACACACAATTACATATGGAATGGAGTATTGGTCTCCTCATTTAGATATTTTGTATTAAAATAATTTGAGACTTAGCTAAGTATAATAGTGAATAGCATAATTTAACACACACACACACACAAATTTTACCTAAATACACATAAAACCAATGCCCTATACTAGAAGAAGAATATTTAGTCACAGTTTTACAATAAACAACTAACAAGATATTTTCTTAACACTTAAAATTAATCACAGTTTACAGGTCTTACTATACATATACTACAAATTTTAATAACATTTGGTAGTGTTTTGAGCTGTAGAGAAGTTGTAAATGTATACTCTGTATTTACTCGCCTCACACATTTCTATGGATACACAAAAATCATACTCTTTTCACAGGTATACTTTTGTTATGAGTATGTGGATAGATAGAAAAGTGTAAAGTGGGTACAACAGCATACACCACTGATTTTAAGTATCTATATTCTGATTAGAGAAACTGTCTAAACTCTAAAGTAATAAATATAATATTAATATACACTTCTATTTTTTGTAGGCCATAAATTAAAAAAGGGGGATTAGTCTCTTTAAACAATTTATACTCAATACTATAACAAACGAACTACATAAAATGTAAAATTTGAAACAACAATATTATTTAGTTTATAATTAATATAATATAGTTTTTATGCAAGTTGACTTAAAATGAATAAATTGAACAATTTAATACACTAATATCAATATTAACATGTAAATAATAAATTTTCAATTTATGAGTAAGATAAAAATAATATATACTTATCTAATGATAATTTAATTTCGATGTAATAAAGAACAATATTATCTTATTATAAAAAAAAAAAAAGTTATACACCATAAAAAATTAAGGAAACAACGTTTTAAAAATATAACAATAACAATAAAGATTAAAGTAGGGAAAAACTGCATTAATTTCAATATAAATACATAAATAATCAGTATTATGCTTGCAAATATCAGTTAACCCAGTATATCATTCAATTGAAAATATTAATCCCTACAATAAATTATCTGTTAAATCAAGTTGGTTTGGTTCATAATATATGCTAGTAACATATGATATTATAATTTTTAAGTTTGTAACATCAAAACTTTAAATAGTATGTTTCAATAATGAAAGTCATAACAATTGTTTTACACATCATTTTTTATTCAGAGCACAAATTACTAATGAAATAATTGTACTGGAAGACAAAAAAAATAAACCATACTTCTAATAATCTTAAAATTTAATTTTATCAAAACTCCAAAATTAAGAAAACACACTAATATGATTATTGTTTTATACTATGACTAAAAAAAAAATTGTAATTTGGTAATATTCAATAGAAAAATCGGTTGACAAATAAAAGTTTAGTAGGTAGTAATAATATTACATATATATATATATGTATGTATTTATGTCTATAATAATAATACTTTAAGTAATTAGAATAATTCAAGTACTTTAAGTTTAATTTGATAATACTGAATTGAGTTACAAAAATTTATTTTATTTTTGTGTTATTTGCATCAAGAAATAATTCAACATTTAATAGCAATGAACAATAAAATTAATATAAGCGTGTACTACAAAATTTATCATAAAAAAAGGTAACATAGCACTGTAATATAGTTAATTGCAATATTTAATTTAATAACAATTAATTTTATAGTATAATAGGAATTATTTTTTTTTTTTTTACTCTTAGTATGTTACGCTAATGATCATAATTAATAATTTAATTGTTCTATACATTAAAGTACAAATAAAAAACAACAATAATGATAAGTAATAATTAATATTTTTGGATATAACAAATAAATTAAGTGTAGATGTAATAATATTAATTAGATAATTAATAATCTATATTTTAACCTGGACTCGTATTACGATTCAAAATTGAACCCAATTAGGATTAGAGCTGTTGCCGCTCGATTGAGTTGTGCTATTGGCCGAAGCAAATTCACCCCAATTGTTAGTATTTATAGGTCGATGTGACGGAGATGAAGTTTGTGAAGGTGGAGCTGGGATAGTTTTTGAACCTGATGAACTGGGTGGAGGAGGTAAAAGACCAATACCACCTGTAGACGTTGGACGAGGTTTGGCAGCCTGTTTGCTGTTTACTTCACTTCCATCTTTTTTCTAAAAACAAAATAATAATGAATTAATATAATACATTCAGATAATACATTATAATACTGTTTAGGTAAACAAGTTTTGATAAATAGCTAAAGTATACATTTGAGGACCCTACTTTGATGTAGAATTTCTACTTTAGTTAACTCAAAATTTACAGAGTAATAGTTTATATAGTAACACCCCTGACAAAACTCATATTTTTTCATACAATTTGTTTGTATAATAAAACATATAGTGGTAGTTTTTATAAAAAAAAAGCAAATGTGTTATTATTTGCCAAAAAAAAAAAAAAAAACAAATGCTTTTGTTTTCTGAGGAAGTTTAAATGTGTTAAAAGATTATATTTTGTGTGTGATAGGTAAATATATTATAATAATATGTTTTATACAAATGTTTAAATTTAAAAACAATTAGATATCATTTGGGTGTAATAAAATAGCAATATTTTATGGTAATCTTATTAAAAAATTACATTTTTAAAAAATGTCTATGAATACTATAAGCACAAAATTTGCATCCGATGCTGCTTATTGTTATGCACGCGGAAATATGAAAATTGCAAGTAGCTATAACTTTGGAACTAGAGGAGTCCACAAACTGTTGACTTCGGATTCGTAATCAGTGTAAAAACACAATATCATAAAAAAAATCTCAAAAAACTGAGTGCCTAGTAATATATATTTATGCCAATAGTATTTTTAATACAGACTTGGGTAACATATAAAGTATTTTTACTTACAGTTATTTTCATATTAATTTTTATCGTTTCCCCTTCTTTGAATTTTAAATCTAGTTCTTGTTTTGGTTCATTTTTTTCTTTAGCAATTTCTTCGCACACTTTAATTCTTTTAAAATGATCTTGTAAAGCGACATTTAAATCAAAACTATCCGAACGATCACCAAAACCTAAGCCAATAAATGCAGCACGTCCTAATAAAAATAAAAAGATAGTTATTATATATTTTTTTGTAAGTGTATCAACAATTCTATTCAGACCATTTTCATCTTGAATTCGTATTACAAAGTACCGTGATGAATCTGACACAGATTCTATAGCAAGACCTGGATATGCGTCAATGGGACATTTGGCAAAAAGTTCACCGTTATTGCGATCCTCCAATTTTAAGGTACATGCATCTCCAACACTTACGATTCTCATGCGCCCAGTCCAGGTTGGCTCGGAAAGATTCCAGTCTGCTGCTCTACATTCGGGTAAAAAAAATGTATTTCTATGAAAAAAACTAGTTTTTTTCAAAGGAAGAACGAACAACGAGAAGAAAATATAAGGGCACTTGTAATTACATATATTGTACAATTAAACGTAGTGACAAAAGATCTTGTTTTAATTGGGTAATTGTAGTTGTGTAATGGAAATGTATTTACCTGTATCCTCTGTTTGTAGTCCTCGGAGGTATTTTAAAAACGAATACTTCGTTCTTTACCAATAATATACTTTCGTATGTCTCCATAGCTAATTTTAGTAATTTTGCAACTGCACAAAAGACAGAAAACCTGAGAAAATATAGGAGAGCAGAATAACGAGACAATAGAAAATCGTAGTAAATGGATATTACCACTCGTCACTCGTGTTAAAAACTGCAGATGTCAGAACATAGATTGGATGTTATCATTTTTTTTATTTGGTGAACACTGTATAATAATATGTTCCTTGTGGTTACACTGATCAATGTTCTTTTATTCCATTAATTTTCATTAAAACAATATTCGATAACGGACATCGATAACGGTTTGTACCTACTTTGTTATTACTTATTAGAAATATTATTAATTTTTGTAACTCGTTTTAAGTTTAAAGATAACTTATATCTATTGAGTAATGATATTTAACGTATGCCACAGACAAAAATTTTAATTATTATCGCAGAAATTAATAAGCGAATCTTATGGTGGTTTTAACCAAGCGATATTTCTTAGTTCAGCCGTATATGATATTTTGAAGACAATTTTACCAGTAAGTAAACTTATTTTACATAATTGGACATAAGTTCATATTTTAATATGAATTATTATAATTACATATAATTTTTACTGTTCACTTAAGAAAAAAATGTATTGCTTTTTTTTAGTGTTTTATATACTGATATATTTGATTAGTTACATAAGTTTTGAATAGCACATCACATTGTTAATTTAATATAGACTAACCAATAATAATATAGCTGTAGACAGATGTAAATCAACGTGTACTTTTTTGAAAATGATACAACATAAGGTCTTTTTAACATGAAACAACGTGTTTTCATAAGAAGATATAAATTTTACTATTTGCTAGTTTGCTAAAATAATATGTGACTTAGGTTCTTTTTAATAAATACCTATTCCTTTATTGAGTAGAGCTTAATAGGATGCATTTGATTATTTACTATTTTAAGAAACATAATGTTATCTTTCCTTTATATTAGACTTGTTTATAATATTGATTATTAAGTTGATAATATAAATCAAAAGTATAATTTCATATCTATTTAGGATCTATGCCCAAAGAAGTCTGTGAAAAAATGAGTAATAAGATACGTAAAAAATATGGTTGGTTAGGTAACAGCAACAAAATGTTTGAAAATAAGTTAATTACTTAAGTAAAAATAAAAATTCTATAAAATAATTATGAAGTTAGAAATACTGTGACAAGACAATTTATCGGTATTATTGTAGTGTAAATAAAATCAAGATGTATAGCTATCATTAATTATACAATGATAGATGAAAAGATTATTAAAGGTATCGAAATCGTTGTTCTACCGGGACGTTATGAAAAGTTGCTAGAAGAAATGTGGAAGATAGTTTTAAATAAAAATTAAATGCAAGCTTTAAACTATTATTTAAATTTAGTAATGTTTTAATATTATTGTTTACTATTTGAGAAATACTAACCATTAAACACAAATGAAGGGCACAGGGGAAAAACTGTAGTAGTCACATTACGAAAAAAAATTAAAAATATTTTTTTTCAATTTGTCATTAGTTTTTTTTATTTATGTCAATAAATTGTTTAAATAAATACATTTTTTATTAGAATAGCATTTAATGTGATTTTTTTTGTTCTTATGTAAAAGGTAGAGGAATTCACGAACTTTGTTTTTGCTATACTCTAAAATTTTTATAATGTGACTACTACCGTTTTTCCCCTGTGCCCTTCAAATTTATAAGTACTTAAATATATATTATTATAAGTTCTTTTTTTTTTTAGATATGAGTCGCACTGATATTAGAAAAAAGAAGTATAGCGGTGGTCAAAGTAACTATTCAATTATGGATACTGAAAACTTTGAACCCCCCCAACAAGCATCTACACCGGCAAAGAGTCTTAGAAGAAGCTCAAGAAAAGCATTACAGCCACTGAATGATAGCATTTTAAATATAAGCGCTATAAAGAAACAAGACTCTGAGGAATCAAAACCATATAAAATGTTGGCAGTGATAAATGAAAGTTATGAGTATAACCGTATGCCAGAACTATTTTGCAGTGATCCAGAAGATGAAACAGTTGACACAGAAAATGTCTCAGTAGCTACCACAAACGATTCTGATGATAAATGGACCACTTTGTCTGATGCATCGGAAAATAATTGCACTAACATTACTGATATAATGGCCGAAATTGATGCTGACGTAATGGTAAGATTTGAAAAAGCGCCAAGGCGATCTTATCCAGGAAGAAAAAGAAATAACAAAAGTTTATATGAAAATTATGAAGAAAATGAGGAAGAAGAAAATATACAGGCTAAAGCAGTAAAAAAAGATAAAAAACCTAAAAATAAGAAAAAAGATCCTCAAGAAGAGGAATTTATTCGTTCAATAAATGAACATTTTAATGAGGTAGAGAATTTTGGGTTGGCTGTAGAATAAAACAGTGACTTTTATATTTCTCATTTATTATTTTTTTTTTTTAAGTATCCTATTTTTTTCTTTGTGTATCCTTTGGATTTTTGAACAAATTGTATTTTACTTTTATATAATATATACTAATATGTTTCCATGTACTCACATTATGTATTGTATCTTCTATTTTAATATATCTATAATTTACAATTTTATAATTATTAACATATTATTCTGATAAGATATCAAAAATAATGTGTAAATGTATACAAATAAATGTTTTTATACAATGTTACCATTTTGAGTTATTGGATATGATAGATGACATTGTTCAAAAGAGTTATGGAACTTTTTCAAGATTTTTGGGTTAGTCTGTTACCATGAAATAAATAAATAAAAAAATCTTTTATAAAAATTACATTTTATTTTTCACTAAATATTTTCTAAATTAATATGCTAAAAGAATTTACAGTCAAAATAAAAATGTATTGGATCAAAACTTTAATTATTTACATTCTTCATTATGGGTTTTTACTAAAATTTAAATATATGTGTTTTGTTCAAATCTTAAGGTAATTGATTTTTATGAAATAAATAATTAGATTATCGCTGAATTGTACAGAATTTGAATAGCGAAAACCCGCAATTTCCTATACATGGAAGAAAAAATAATATGTTAAGCTTCACCATTTTGATTACGATTAACATTAAACTGATAAGAAATCATTACAAGTAAATTTTGAAGGTATTGTTACTATATACTAATCTATGGAGTATGGTTACTACTTTTTGTAATATTAAAACAACAGACTCTAGTTGGTCGATTTAATTGTTAAAACGAATTTTGTGAGTTTTATATTTAAAAGTTTTATTTAGAAAAAATGACACCTAATCCTCCTGAGGTATGTTGAAAACTTAATTTTATTTTACTGTTTTTCGTAATTGTACAATACTCCAAAGAACCTGAATTATTTAATTAATGAATTAATAGTCTACCTTTGATAAAACTTAAATAGACTTAATAATCTTTTTTATGATGACATATGTTAAGCTAATGGAGGTGGACCAGAGCAGTTGTCCTCGAGGTGATGGCTTTAAGTCGTATTACACTACAAAAATTGAAGAGCTTTTGCTGATCGTAGCAGAAAAAAGTATGAACCTCAGACGTTTACAAGCTCAAAGAAATGAACTCAATGCTAAAGGTATAATTCATTTTTTCTGTTATAAATGTGTTTATGTAAGAATTTTTGATATAAATTTACTTTTTGTGAGTACCATTTTTTTATTTGGTTGATTCACTAGTTCAAAAATTATAACTACTTAAACTTCGGCAGTCTCCAAGGTGCAGTAACATCTTCAACATATTCACTTCCTTTTTTTTCTTTTTTAAAACGCTAATATGAATTTTACACTTAATTTCAGAAAAAACTTTTCAATCTATAACCCTTCGTATAATCACAAATGCCCCTCTCTATGTCTTAAATCACACCCTTCATACCGACTTAAGAGTAGACACAGTAGATGAAACCGCTAAAAAACTATACAAACAATTCCGCTCACGACTAACAAACCATCCAAATCCCTTTAAATTCCAACGCTATTCCTGGTTATCCTCGTAGGTTAAAGAGAAGATGGTGTTGTGACTAAAATTAAATGCTTATCATAATTAACCAAAGCCCTATGTAAAGTGTCGCCATTAGGTGGCTACTTTTCTCACGCGTTTCATGTTAAAAAAACATACTTCCGCGTACATGATTATTGTGATAACTAAATTACAGATTGTTTGTTTTTAAAAATAAAGTTAAAAAAAAAAAAACTTCAGAAATAATTAAAACACGTTTGCTAAATACATTATTATTAATTATGATACTATTTTAGTGGTAACTAAACATTGAACTAATGAAGTCTGCAGATTTCTGACTTAAGATTTGAAAACAATATAAAAAAAAAAAACATATTTTGAAGAAAAAAGTTTTAAAATAAAAATTTAAACTAAAATTTTTGTTTATTTCTTTATGAATCGCTGTAATTTTAATTTCTATATTTATGTTTTTTGTTGTTGTATATAGTGAGGCTATTGAGGGAAGAATTACAACTGCTACAAGAACAAGGTTCTTATGTTGGTGAAGTAGTTAAGCCAATGGATAAGAAAAAAGTACTTGTAAAAGTTCATCCAGAAGGGAAATTTGTTGTAGACATTGACAAAAACATAGATATTAATGACGTGACACCCAACTGCCGTGTTGCATTGCGCAATGAAAGTTATACTTTACATAAAATTCTACCAAACAAGGTATGTTGTATATACCAGTGTTTGGAACATTAATTTATCTATTTAATGGTAAAAAAATTTTAACTTTCTTTCTAAACACTGGTAATTATTTTATTTTTTAACTACTTTGTGAATCTAACACCTGTATGCTATTGATAGGTTGATCCTTTGGTTTCTCTTATGATGGTTGAAAAAGTACCAGATTCCACTTATGAAATGGTCGGGGGCTTAGACACTCAGATCAAAGAAATCAAAGAAGTTATTGAGTTGCCTGTAAAACACCCAGAGCTATTTGATGCTTTAGGTATAGCTCAACCAAAGGGTGTACTTTTATATGGACCACCTGGGACAGGTATTTTAATTGATATATTTCAGTTACCAATTAGGTATTATACTGTTGGATAAAACTATTTTTTTTGTTACAAAAGGTAAAACTTTATTAGCCAGAGCTGTTGCTCACCATACCGAATGTACTTTTATTAGAGTATCCGGCTCAGAACTTGTACAAAAGTTTATAGGAGAAGGTTCTAGAATGGTACGAGAGCTATTCGTCATGGCAAGGTATAACTGTCCTTTCTTTTAAAATTTATATTTTTTATTACTATAATAGTTTTCTTTAAATTAATTCCAGAGAACATGCACCTAGCATAATATTTATGGATGAAATTGATTCTATTGGTTCATCGAGGATTGAATCCGGTAGCGGAGGAGATTCTGAAGTACAAAGAACTATGTTAGAACTTCTCAACCAACTTGATGGTTTTGAAGCAACAAAAAATATTAAAGTAAGATTAAAATTTAAATACCAAATGCTTACTAATAAAACTTTAATAAATTTTAATTTTATTTTCAGGTGATTATGGCAACTAATCGTATTGACATTTTGGATACAGCTCTACTGCGACCTGGACGTATTGACCGCAAGATTGAGTTCCCACCTCCAAACGAGGAAGCTCGATGGGATATTTTGCGTATTCATTCTAGAAAGATGAATTTAACTAGAGGAATAAACTTGAAAAAAATTGCTGAACTAATGCCTGGGGCTTCTGGAGCAGAAGTTAAGGTATTTATTATTTATAATTAAAATGTAAAATACTTGAGACATTTAATTGCTACTAATTACATTGGGGTTTTAAATTATTATATTAATTTTAGGGTGTGTGTACCGAAGCGGGAATGTATGCACTACGTGAAAGACGTGTGCACGTTACTCAGGATGATTTTGAAATGGCTGTAGCTAAAGTTATGCAGAAAGACTCTGAAAAGAACATGTCTATTAAGAAACTTTGGAAATAAATTGCAAATATCTATTATATATATATTTTTTCTTTTAAGAATAATTTCAATTTAATTATTTGCGTATAAATAAAAATCATACTAATACTATGCTTACGTTTTTTTTAAATTTTTTTATTTCTTACTCTTAAAAAATAGATACATAGGAATACAAAAAGTATTTATATTTTTTAATTATTACATTTATAATTTATATAAATAATTCAAGTAATTATTTGGAAGCAAATATAAATACATTATGCGGTGCAATATTGTTCTCTTTAAAACTTATGAAAATAAATTGAACTTGTAAAATTTAAATAAATTGAATCAGGTCTGTTGATTCTTATCGTCCATTGCAATGGACATGACCTTATAATCAATATTCACAGTAACACTTTTTCCAAGTCTGGTCTTTCCTGTACAGTATACAGGGGCTTGTATGCTTTTGATCATAGTCAATTTCTAGGATTATGTTTGAATGAATCAACAATCAATAGGTATTTGAAAATAATTTCTTTATACATTAAATAATAATTTCTTTATGTATTATTAATTACGTAATTATTATTTAATGACAATATATCAATAACTATGGCAATAAATCATTATAGACAGATTATAAATCATAATCGAGAATACCTTTAATACTTCAAACAAATGTTTTAACACATTATAATTTGATCGATATTTGTATTTCTACCATTACAGATTCACATCAAAGCTTTTATTAATTTCAGTTGTAATGATTCATATAGACCTGTCACCTCCCACACCCCAATATGCTCCATTCTCACTATACCCTGATCCCACTGTACTTGCTTTTTTTTTGCATTTAATATAGCTTGTAGGTTAACTTTTTTTACGGTTTCCACTACATCCTACTGTCGACAACCCTAATATTGTTAGGTCAAAATATTGAAACGCTACTACTGGTACATGGAAAGAAAATTTTTTTTTTCGTTTTCTGTAAAATTTAGCTATAGACTTAACACGTTTTCAAAGTGGGCAATTCAAATATAATTTTTTTGAAAATGGCTTGATTAAAAAAAAAAATTTGCAAGTTTATTTTTGGCCAGAATGAGTTTATTTTTTGTACATGATAAAGAATAGAAAGGATTTTTTTTACAACATAGTAAATATAACATCAAAGTTAAAATACAGTAGTCGTTCTTTTTTTGACATTAGCTGGGTCCTTGCAAATAGGTTCTCAATATTTTTTGTGAAAAATATAATAATTAAAAATACTACTTTTTTTATTTAAGGGAGCATAATCAGAAGCTAAATGTGTATTCAAGAACAAATTCCAGAGGAACATTAACCATGATAATAAATAAATCCATCCACTTTTATTCTATAAACTTGTACTTCCATAATAACTCAAAACAGTTATGTACAACTTAAAACCAAATGGATGGGGCAAACGATACCAAAGTTATAAAATAATATCCAAACATATGTTTAAACTTTAAATAGTAATATAAATAGTAATTTTATTTACAAAAAAAAAAATCAGCTTCTGTTTAACTTATAAAGGAAAAATTATACATATTAATTTTTATATAGCGGTTTCAGGGTATATAATTTTTATATAAAAAAAAATGTATACACTAATAAAAAAATGTGTTTAAGCTAAAAATAATTTCCAAATAAAGCTAAAATAATAATAATAATGTGTAGAAATCAACATAACAAAAATTATTTTCTGTATTATAAAATTTAGACACAATACAGTTACAAAATATATTTGTTGTAAGGAAAGTTATAATAGTAAATATAATTATAAACTTTTCTGAATAAGTTTTTATTAATTAATTATTTTTTTTATATAAATTAATAATTATCAAACAGTTCATTGAAACAGCTTTGATCATTATTTTATGATAAAACATGCTAAGGATTTTAATAAATGGACTACTGGTTATACTAGAAGAACTCGTTTGATAATATTAATTCAGCTGGAGTAAAAAAAAAAGTTCTTGTATTTTCTATACTTAAGACTTGTTTTCTTGAATTACAAACAGTTTTTTTTGAATTATTATTTATAATATTTATGTAGTCCATAGTCGGTTAACGATTGGCATTCTTCAATTGGTTTGACAGCCAATCAAGACCTTCATACAAACCATCACCACTAGTTGCACACGTTGCTTGAATATACCAGTTACGATTACGCAATGTGTGTAAACTTAATTTATCGGTAATTTCAGAAGCATTCATGGCATTTGGCAAGTCCTGTAATTTATAATTATTGTATAAGCATAAATTTAATCTAACACAATTCTGTTGTTTAAATCGATAGTGGTACATACACATTTTTATAAACGATATTACGTAGGAAAAAAATGCTTTAAACAAAGGAGTGGCTAATCTATATATACTATACATGATAATCAATTTGTCAACATGTTTTGTGCTTTGATGTAAGGAGTCAAATTAAGTACTAGTGATATCAGGTATGATCCCCGCATCATCTGCAAAACATAAGTTGTCTAGCTCCGCCATGCACAAGCTCTATTTATTTGGGATGACACAAGTAGTAAAATTTCAATTGGTTGATTGCAAAATTTAAAATATTGAAAAAAAAAACAATTCATTAACAAAATAAAGAAAAGAAAAATCTGGAAAATTACTATCACTTCCCAAAGTATGTTAAATCTATAAACATGTATGCATGTTAAATACATAGAAATATTAGCTCCCATCTTGTTAAACTTTATACAAGTGACGTGCCTGAGACTAGCTGCATAAATTGTATATATTATATATGCAGACAACTTAGTACTTTCTTGTCAATCCAAAGTTCTAGATAAATGTGAATACACTGATCTTCAACAGTCAAGAGTATTACATCAAGGAACGGAGACCAATTCTTAATTCAACAAAAACTGAAACTCTAGTTATTCACCTCAACAATAGGATGGCAGAACATCAGTTAAACGTCAATTCTAATGGACAAACTCATCTACGACATCAAAAAAAACTTAAATACTTCAGCGCATTAAATAAGACGCTAACGTACAAGGAACATGTACATAAAAACGACACACAGCTGTATTCCGCATACAGTCTCATTACTAACAACAGAAACTATTAAGTCAACCATAACGCAATGACTTCCAGTACAGTCTTAATACCTCCTCTACACCTTATAAGACAAAAGGCTCTTCTACACACATGGACCATAAGTGCACAAAAAAAATCTTGCTATTCCATTTGATTAGAAAATAAAATTATGTGGTAAGAGATAGAGCTACTGTAAAAAAAGGCGTAATTTTGTACTTCCAACATCTGCCATCTAAATTTTACATCAAACCATCAATATAACAATGAATTATTTTTGAAACCAGTAGTTGCTAAATAAAATAAAATACTATTTTTCCCCTTATGAATTATTATGTCCATACCAAATACTACTCACTTGTTTGTTAGCAAATATCAATAGTACAGCATCTCTAAGTTCGTCTTCGCCAAGCATTCGCATTAGTTCTTCTTTAGCTTCGAATATACGCTCTTTATCATTACTGTCTACTACGAATATCAAACCCTGTGGTAAACAAAACATTTAAATTTAGTTTAAAATGTTCTTTGTCAAACATTTTTGTATTATAACAGTACAGGATACTTAAAATAATACTATTCAATGTTAAAATTGCATAATTAAAATTTTACAAGTACATGAGTGAAAAATTTCAGACTTCTATGTATGAGTATTAATTATGTAGCAATTTATTATTTAAATTGTGGTATAATATATCTATTGCTTGTAGGTACCCCTATATGGTGTACTAAGAATAGAGACGAGGACCAAGATGGCCCAATAACCTGGAGACCAGGGGGGTTTGATTCACACAGTGTAGCTACCAAATTTTTCTCGTTTTCCACACTACAAATCTTAACCAATATACAACACTATATTTAGAAAATACATATCCATTATCTTGATAGAGATATGTTTCTCGCTAGTTTTGGTGCAATATTCCCTTTATTAAAAAACCTAACAGACAATAAATGAAGTCAAAACAAATTTAGTAATAATTGAACTTTTTCATTTTTACTTAGAAATTAATATAAGTTAAAGTAACATTGTTGAACAATTTTGTATTGAAAATCGTCCATGTCAATTTTTAAGTTACATTTCATTTTGTATATGCTAAAAAATGGCCATGCTAAAAAATAACATAGTTTTGGTCAAATTATTGGCTTTATTGGTAAGATGACAAAATATTTTATCTCTATTTTATAATCTTAACTGGCGGTCAGGTAAAATTGTACATCCAATATAGCTATGTTGTACTACAATTTAACAATTTAAATAATTATAATTCTTAATTAATTTAAATTATAATGTGAGTTTTATCTAAGAAGCCTAAATGAATTTTATGACACCATGTACATTATTAGGGTATAATTAAATTTTCAATTGGTCGCACAGTTTTCAGTTATACTTAAATAAAGTGAATAAACTTTTACATATAATATGCATTTTGAAAGCAAATAAACCGTATCTCCCGCAACACAAATTTATAAGTTTTGCTTCTTATCATAACTAACAAATAAAACTTGAAGATCAATGGACTTAGAATAAATAATGAGAAGAAAAAAACATTTTATAGTTCTTGGTTTTATTTTCTTGATTCTAGAGATCACAAAATTCATTTTGTAAATGTGTGGAGTTGGAAGAGAGAGAAATTATGTTTTTTCATTTAGCACGATAGTGTAGATTATAAGTAATTACATACAATGGTGTAGTCGTAGGGTATACTGTATACTCAGCTATCAATTTTTATACAAGCAGATTGTGCACATAAATAACAAAAAATGTGTACATTATGCTGATAATACTGATATTAATGCAATACCGACACAGCATCCTACTACAGCACTAGTTTAAAAAAAATGTGCATCTATAATTTAGAAAAAATAACCTTAACCCTTAACTAGTGATGTGTTCATACCGTATACATGAATTGCTAACTGCAGAAAGAGGACAATAATAACACTCACTTTTTCTAATTGTTCATGAGAGACAAAAAAAAAATATATATATATATATAAATATATATATATACATATATATATTACTTTATAAAAACACATCACTAGTTAAGGGTAAAACATATTTTTTAAAACTGGGAAAACATTTTTACTCATTTGGTATTATTATCTTTATTGTTTACCGAAAGAGTATGGTTGCACAAAAACCCATTACTATTGTATTCACACAGACAGGAATAATGCCTTTTTGTTTTTGCGCAACCATTTCTCTCGGCAAGCGGAATATAGATCATTTTGTTCTTTGAAGTCAGCCAAATCCACTGGAGGTCACTATTGTTATACCTCCAGCAGCTGTGGCTTAAGGACAGACATAAATTATAAGTTTGTTAACAACATGCCTGTGTGTTCTGGAAATAATGCCTCCAAAGAGGTCGGATTTTGTCTTGTCCACCGACATCCCATACTGTAAAACTGATATTTTTGTACTCGACCGTTTCCACATTAAAACCTAAAAAAATGTAAATTTTCAATTTTATAGTAAAAATAATCATTATTTTACTTATAATATACCAAAATAATCTTACCAATAGTTGGTATAGTTGTAACAATTTCACCTAATTTCAGTTTGTATAAAATAGTAGTTTTACCAGCTGCATCCAACCCTACCATAAGTATTCTCATTTCCTTTTTACCGAATAAATTTTTGAACAAATTTGCGAAAACATTTCCCATTCTGAAAAAAAAAAACGAGACATAACATTACAGTCATACCATACAAAAGAAGTACATGTATATATTTACTAAAATTTTTGACAAAAAAATTATTCTTTGTAAGCCACCGATGATATAATCCTAATCACTATATTATGGAACGAACTGGGCAAATCTATCCAGTTTTCACTTGTACATTTATAATTTCAATATATTATACAACTTAATAAGAACCATTTATTACTTTAATTACTTTGTTTGATTTATTTAAGTTGATCAACAATTTAACATAATTAACAACATTTTTTGTTGATAATTATGGTATAAATCTACTTTACCGGACACCCTTTTTTTTTGATTCTATAGTATTTTTCAAGCTGATTACTGAATATGTGAAAATTTTGCGGCGCTCGCACTTAGTTTGGAAGTTACAGAAGTTTGAAGTTCGCAGATATCGACTTATGCGCGCGCCGCACGTCTACCTGCGGCCGCCGGGTACATCATTCGACGATGGCCGCTCTCGACATATTAGGCGCGCGACACTGGGCTAGGTTTTGTGTCGTTAGGTCGCTGACCGCTTCCAGGGTAGTTTTTTTTATTCCCTTTAGGTGAGCTATTTTTCCCTATGGGGGTTTGAGGGCGTGAGCCCTCATCCTAACGAAGACTCCCGAAGGACTCGAGTTGCTTTATTTAATTATGATTTTTTTAAATTAAAACTAAATTGACCTAATTGACTAATTTGATAGTACTTATACTAAATACAAAAAAAAAGATAACGACGGGCGGGAGGCAAGTAGACGGGGGGGTAATTAGTATAACTAACGCCTGCTATGTCGATGCGGCGATCGTCGAATGATGTACCCAGCGGCCGTGGGTAGACATGCGGCTCTGGGCGCGCGTGTAAGTCGATATCGGCGAACTTTAAGCTTCGGTAACTTCCAAATGAAGTGCGAGCGGCGCAAATTTTTTACATATTCGTAATCAGCGTGAAAATACTATCAAATAAAAGGGTGTCCGGTAAATTAGATTTGTTCCATAATTATTATCCATTGAAAAAAGTTTTGCAATATATTATAGGGAGATGAATAGAAGACAGAAAACAAAGAAAAAAGGCAAGGTTATAAATAGCTATCATAAATATTTAAACACCATGTTTTGTATGTCTATAGAAATATTTAATTTATAATTCAATGAATGGCTTATTTAGATTATGATATAAAAAAACTAGAATAGTCAAAAAATGCATTAAATAAATACTGAATCGCAATTATGAACAAGAGAAAATTATTTTGAAACTTTATTACAATTGTATAAAGTTGTATATCTGAATACATTGATAATTGAAAAACTTGTAAGGTTGTTTATCATAGGTTATGGCAAAAACTGTTATTCTATCCTATACAATTTTTGGGTAATAGTTCATAAAGGCGTCCTGAATTTCTTAAACAAAAATGTTAAAATTATATACTTACTCGACGAACGATTACTATATAGTAGGTAAAATAAAATATTAAAAATGTGTGTCGATAGTTAAACTACAAAAAAGGCAGAAGAAGTAGCAGCTTATGGACAATTCTAGAGACTCTCGTTTTGCTGACAGTGCAAGGAGACTTTGTTTTCAACACTGGTTTGATCGAACATATGAATTGGGACTTGATTAACGACAGAACACGTAGTATTTAAGGGGGTCAGAGAACATTTTTGGGGGACCACTGACGGTTTTTCTAAAAACGCGCCAGAGCCAGGGCCCTTTGGCAGGGCAATAGGCCTGTGACTAAACATAATGACCGAGGCCAATACGTCAATCTTCCCAAACGCCGACAACAGACGACGGATAGCGGTGACAAGTCGCTCTTGGCAACGTGTGCCCTAAGGAGCAGCTTCAGGTCAACGGGTGTCGGCCGATGGGTCGCCATCAGATTAAATCGGTACTTACTTGATGTGTGAAACGGTCGGAGGATGATTCGAAGTACCGGTGAACTAACGGCGGATCAGACGTGACAACGTTAAAAAAACCCTATTATCGAATAAGATGGCGGCGTACGGGTTCTTGTTGACTCGGTTTTTTTTTTAATTTTATTTATTTACTTTTTTCCACTACACTTGCTGGCTCTACATGCGTGCCACGTATGGAGCACAATTGTTCCTGGTCTAGGCACGTCATTGGTCAGCCGGCGTCACGTGAACGCTATTTGTTTCTGCCATGAAATCCACCGGATGACGGTTAAACGGGTTTTCGGCTTTACGTCTACGGTCCAGTTATCAGTTTGTCGAAAATATTTTCCACACTGTAGACCAGATACTGTGTTGTAGATAACGGTTTTTGCTCGGCTTACGATGTAGAGAAGATATTTAGATATCTAAATCATGGTTCGGCCCAACGTCATGTTCAAGCTTCAACGCTTAAACCATTAAACTACTGGGCCCATCGGCTTAACGCCCTAACCGAAAATTATGTAATTTATTTATTAATTTTGTTTCACACCTGTGGATTGGTAACACTTCGACAAATAGCCATCTCGTCGATTCGTCACCTGCTACCCTTCGGGCGTCGTCGACTGGCATGACGATGCCAATATACCGCCCATGATACGCAGTTTGATAAAGAATACGTTATATTAATAAATTATAATTGTTTACAAACCTTTTATCACTTATCAAAAATGAATTTTAAGTTGTAGTATAGTCAACTGAATATGAATTTTGATGTTTCTATCACTCAAAATGACAACAGCTTTTATAGAAAGCTAGTTATTAAAGAGATAAAAGTTCAGTCACTTAACTTTTTCGGTTAATTTGAATCTTTAATACAAAATAAGGTTAACTTTACGAGCTGTCTTTCAAAAACCTCAAATAAGTTAATTGTCATTATAGATCATTGTAAAAATACAAATACATTTATGAAAAAAAATGTTTATTGTTTATTAGGTACTTTTTTTTTAAAAACGAATTTAACTAGAAACAAGGTAAAAAAAATAACGTCCTATCGTCACACAAAATTCTATTTTTTTACCACCTTATCCATCCACATAATTCACATTTCATTATCTTGCAAAACGGCTCCTTTATTTATTTCGTAATACTTATGCGATTTTGTTGTCACTTGTTAACATTTAACATTGTATATATTTTTTATTTCTCAATATTCACTGTCATGTCTTTGCGAAAATACCTAAATACTTCTGAATTGTATTGTAAAATCATGTGTACAATATGCCATTGTTCCTTGTGAGTTGTGGGTTATTTTATTTTTAACATTATAACAATTTCATCTACAATTATTCTATTTTACATAATAAGGATGAATGGTGTACCAATGCATAAAGTACAGACAAACAAGAATTTATTTATGTACATATAGATGATGACTATTTATGTTTTACTATTACAGGTTAGGCGACCTCATACCTACCAATACTTAATTAAACCAATCAATATTTTATCGCCACAGAGCGAGTCCTTGTTGAATTAACTAAGTTGAATTTATAACTTTTAAGTAAAAACTTACGATTAAGATAATATATTTCTTAAGTTTTATACGAACTGTACTTTTATTACATGCAAAAAGTACAATTGATGACGATTAATATGAATTACAAATTTGTTGTAAGTAGTTTATGAACGATGCTTTTAACTACAAATACATTAATTGATCGCAATTAATTTTGAATTTTTTTCTTTTATTATACATTTGTTTATTTTATCATATAAAAAAAATATATATTATTAATTATACGAGTATGTTTTAGTTTATTAATGCTGGCGGCGAAATGTCCGAGTCCGTCCATTAGGTCAGAAAGTCGTAGCGAAGCGGTGCGGCGTGACTCAACAGTCAACGTGTTCTTCTATAAGAAAGTTTACTGAGCTTACTGAGCCAATTATGATATAAGTAATTATTTAGTATATCCGGAAATATACTCTCAATTAGTTCATTTTTTGTCTGAACAATGCAGAAGTTGTCTGGCATTTTGTGATTGTGTATGGATGCAGTTCTATTTCACCGTTTCCAATATCCAGCAATTGCTTAGAAAATATTTTTGTCGATGGATTATTTGCAATTGTACTCGCATGTTTATGGTCAATCGAATTGTTTCGACATTTCGCCATAAAAACAATTGTTTCAAACATTGCATTAATCTCATCGGCAAAAGCAGAGCGAGGAATGACTGGCAATGTCTGTCGGAAATCACCAGACAGTAGTAGGACAGCATCACTAAAAAGTTTATCGTTGCCGTTCAAATCTTACATCGTTTTATGTAATGCTTCAAAACTCAAGTGAGGTCTATGATATTAATTTGGGATGAGTACACTCCACCCAGATTATGATTGAACTCCTTTGCAATACTGCAGCCATTCTGCTTTTTTTTTTTTACACATAACATATAAGATGCCATCGAAATAATAACGAGTCGTCGTCGTCGTGCAAACGTTTTGACCAAAACATATAATTAAGACTATACTATTATCATAAATCGCAAAGAGATTATAGATAACAAATAATCACTATTCAGAAGCCAGCAGGCTAAAGCATGTTCCATGTTTTATAATTTTTGTTGTTAGGCTTTAAGTAGAATGTAACTTTTTATTTTGATGAATATTTTAGGACTTACTGGGTTCTATTCATGTCGTCGAACAAATATTAAGCACCAAAATCAACTAGGTGCATTGTCAAATTCAATTGCTATTTGTACAGTTATTTGCTTTTTATAAGTTTGTACAGTATAAAAGATACAAATTTAATTTTCCAAGACTAATATATAACCTATGTACATGCGTGTGCACATATTCTAACGATGTTTACTCTAATAATGACCGTTTGATTTCTGAGAATATTAACTGTCGAGTAAAATGAAATGCTATGGAAGTGACATACATTTTATGTTTTTAATATAAAAAAGTATATTGCCTGGAATATGGTAATCCAAATTGAGTTAGATAGTATTTTTAAATGATGAGAGAACAGTTCAGTGTTGTACTGTTTTACGTTTTGCACAATATACTATCCATTGCGCCGCACTGATGTCGGTAAGAGACATCTATGACGATGTTAGACCCTTGTTGATTTTGTGTAAAATCACCGGCATGACAAATCTCAAAAACGTGTTTTCTGGCAGACTGGAATTTCGATGGGACGTCAATTGCTTGTGGCCATTTGTACGCAACCATACATTTCTATCGGAGTATAATTTAATAATTAACTATTGTACTTATTCGCGTTATAATTTGTATGATTTTTGGTTTTACAATAAACTACTAGTACAATCCAACGGTTTTTTTATATTTAACAGCTTCTTTACGGGATACAGAGTTATATCGTGTGCTGGAGTGTACTCGAGTCCAATGCGCCTGTCATATGGTATTGGACGATCGACAGTATTTTACGGGAACTGTGCCGGTTGCTGACAACGCTGTACTCGGACAGATGGTTGCCCAATATTATTGTCAACATTTACAGGTTCGACATGGAACATGGACGTCCGCTAAAGCATCAGAAAACTCCCAGATACTTTGTGGTCGCGTACGTGCTATTAACATTGAGTACATATATTTGTGGTATCGCCGATGTGGCCACCAACGGCTTATCGATAGAGAATCTCAGCGAATCAATGATTAAGTACCTAACAAATGCTCTATATGTTTTTTTAAAGACAAGAACAAATTTTTAAACAGCATGATACGATTTTTATATTTAAGCTCCTCCACCAAATAACAGACGACGGATTAATTTTTATACTTTTTACCTAAATGTTTTTTTAATCATATTTTCTAATAGTTTGTATTGAGAATATTAAAATATAAACATAATTAATTATAGGATATAGAACAAATCGTTGTAAATATTATGTACAAAACCAAAAGAGAACACAGAAAAATATAAAATAGTAGAGATTTAAATAGTGCAGCCAGCGCTCAAAAGGAAAGAAATGGTGGAAGTTTTAATTGTCCAACGACCAATTGCCCAACACGTTATGAAATACTATGAACACTTTTTTTCGTTGTTCGGCGCCACTGGTTACTGTTAAAAACCCAGCTATATTGTTACAGTGCGCATTTTAATAAGCTGTGTAGCCCGAGATTTAAGGTTTGGCAAGCTTTTAGTTGTTACATTATACTCGGCTCCATTACCGAATGCGGTGTAAACAGACCATTAAAAAATCGTATAAAAAAATTTGAGACATTTAATTTTCGAAGTGTTAATCTCAGATTGACTTATTTTATTTGTTGAATAATATTTTTATAAGTTTATCAACAACAATGGACGATTATTATGTCAGATCACGAGTTGACACACATTATGCGGCGTATTAATTTTTCGGCTTTATAAAATAATTTCGGATTAGTTAATGAAACAATGACTGATATTTTACACGGCGTTTCGTTTTCAATTAACTGTTTTTAACTATGTTCACATTAAATCGGATTTTAACAAATTTATTTTATTGACACGTGGTGTGCAGATGCAACCAATATTTTCTTTTTACGGCGATTTTATTTTTATATGCATAATTTTGCGCAAGCTGATTTTCGTAACTAAATGAAATTATTTTGAAATATTTTCGTTTATTTTTTTTTTTTTTAATAAAACTATTTTATTTTTCTTATGAGAACACTTACAATTTTAAAGGGTACTTACGTAAAATGACGTCCGAGTTGCTTGCATTATCAAACCCAAAATGTTTAACCATATAATTGATTCTATTCTTAACTAAGTGTTAATTTTCCAAGGCAATGTGTATTTAGGGGCTATGTAAAATTATTTATGTATTAATTATACTGTATTTCATTAAGTATATACATTTATGTCTTATTAAGTCGACTTTTATATTAAGTTTTAGGCGCAGCGGTACGGTGGTCAACTTTTAAAACTGTCTTTTTAAAGACAACCTGTGTGTTAATAATGCCTTTGTTTTACATATTTTTATTATATACATATATATTGACCGATTTTTATAGTTAAGATAAATCGTTTCCCAGACATACGACAAGGGCGCACGATTAGCCGACGTCAAAATATTTTATGTAACTTTTTTTTATCGTATTTATAATGTTTGTATACATTTTGAAAAAAAAACCGCGTAACGACCTGAGAACGGACATAATTACTTTCTTTAATTTAAATTGTTTACGGAAAACTACCCTACAATTAAATCAAAATACACCTGAAGGTGCGTGCATTCTTTAACTTAAGTGTATATTGTAAATGGTCTGGTTTTTTATGCAGCTTTTTCCCCAGAGCCATTAAGTTAACTTAAATTCTATTAATTTGTGATTACACATCATTTTATTTTATAAATATTATTCACCGGATGCACGCCCACATTGTTTGTGATCCAATAGATTTTAACTTAATAATGACGGAATTTTTAAATGTGGATTATTGTTAAATTTTAAGAACACTATTTTTGGGGAGGACTTTGCGAAGACCTGGTGTTCCGTTTTTGCCCCGAGCTTATGCCAAGAAAGCGACGATAGGGCGGGCCATTTTCCGATGCAGAGGGAATGCGACAATGATGTGGCCCTAGACTGAGAGGGATGTCCTTCCAGCTCTTCGAAGTCACCAGAAGTCCACCAAAAATACATGTGTTATTTCCCCACTTAGTTTTAAGGGTTAACCTTTATTTTCAGGAATTTTTGTACCACCATTTCGTTTCTTTTACTTTACAACCTTTTTTTGACAACCATTAACTTTATACGACTAGGTCCGAGGTCGGACCTCTACGGGGGAGGGGCAGCTGTAACGATTATATTTCACTTGACCGTTACTTCGTGTCCCAAACCTACTGACACAGCACCCCTGACTATAGGTAGGGGAACGGTCGCACACACAGGACAATGCACGTCGCGTATCATCTAATTAACCAGTTGACTTTACCATCACGGACCGCCAATATCCTCGACCTTGCGCTCTATATTTTTGCCGTTTTACTACAAGCCGCCCATCCGACTATCTTTTGTGTGCGTCCGTTTCAACTCCGCTTTGACCAACCATTTCATCGTCCAACCCAGGTCAGAGTGTATATATATATATATATATTGTATAATTTTGTATTTTATTTAGTAACCCTAATTTATAATAAAACATCTTGTAGCCTGCAGCTGAGAGTTAGATTATTTAACAGTGTGACCGCCCGTTCTAGCTCCTAGGGCGATATATTAAGTTAATAAGGGAGACTTTAAGGCCAATTAAACGTAGACAGCGGCCTAGCCAACCATTATCCCGTGGGGATCCGTCTATTTTAGCCTTATAGCCAGCTAGACAAGTAGGTCCGTTACAATAGCTAAATGATGTATGAAAATATATGTTTTTACAATTATAAGTTAATACTCGTTATTAAATTTGTATTTTTTCTTTAGTACTGGTAAGTTATTCAATATATTATACATATCGTTGCTCGTAAATACCACAAATTAACTCATATCCAACCTAGAATAATATCTTGACTGGAAATATAATATGGTTTTGTCCATCGTGCAAAATAGCGATTACTATTTACAGCTATTCTATTAACTAAATTTAATATGATTGGTGTTGAACCAGGGCTTTTAACAGGCAATTGCCTCGAATGACTTAACAACAAAACAACAATGTCCGTATAACAACAATAGTATAATTTATTACAGATCAGGAACGTGCTTACAAAATATAAGGGGGGGGGGAGGTCACGATGCGTTAGCAAAACATCTTAAGTTTGACCCAACGTGGCAACAGAGCTTTGACGACCGGATCACAGTTCCATGCACAACCGGCGGCTAGCAACAGAGACAAGTAATATTAATAAACAATAATAAATAGTTAAATACAATTAATCGGTTCGATCTGAACGACCGATACGGAACCGATATGTGTGATATGTTAAGGATTATTTGGCGGGCAAATGGTATCGTGGGGACAGCTAGGAACAGCGAAAAGAGGTTGCCCTATCAAAAAATGCTATTTGCACAATTTAAGCTATACCAACACCAATTTGAATAGGAAAATTATTCAATTATTTGATGTTGCTTTACGGGTAACGGTTTCGAATAGGCCTCGAAAAGTCATCAGTGGCCTAATCGGTCCAATACAATATTTATACAAATTTAAGGAAACAAGTTATCACAATAATAGTTAAAAAACAAAAAATTGAGAATCCAAAACCGTTACCCGTAAAGCAACATCAAATAATTGAATAATTTTCCTATTCAAATTGGTGTTGGTATAGCTTTAATTGTGCAAAAAGCCTTTTTTTATTAGGGCAACCTCTTCTCGCTGTTTCTAGCTGTCCCCACGCTCATTAACATATCACACCTTATCGGTTCCGTATCGGTCGTTCATTCAGATCGAACCGATTAATTGTATTTAACTATTTAATATTGTTTAAAATGTATGTAATAAATTGTTCTTCTTTATCATGTTATTAATATTACTTGTCTCTGTTGCTCGCCGCCTGTTGTGGGCTGTGCATGGAACCGTGATCGTTGTCGTCCCTTTGTTATCTATTCAACGACACCAGCACAAAGCTCTACCAAAAGCTCTCACTCGCCGGCTAACTGCTCTCCTGACTCGTTTCCACCGTGGCGCCGGAGCTTCCACACAAATTGCATTTTCTTGGCTTTCCTCGGCTGTACCTTCGGGAATGGCCATGCCATCGCTTCCCGGGACACGTTTCCTCAGCGGCGCCGGAGCTTCCACACAAATTGCATTTTCTTGGCTTTCCTCGGCTGGAGCTTCGGGAACGGCCATGCCATCGCTTCCCGGGACACGTTTCCACAGCGGCGCCGGAGCTTCCACACAAATTGCATTTTCTTGGCTTTCCTCGGCTGGCCCTTCGGGAACGGCCATGACATCGCTTCCCGGGACACGTTTCCACAGCGGCGCCGGAGCTTCTACACAAATTGCATTTTCTTGGCTGTCCTCGGCTGGACTTTCGGGAACGGCCATGACATCGCTTCCCGGGACACGTTTCCACAGCGGCGCCGGAGCTTCCACACAAATTGCATTTTCTTGGCTTTCCTCGGCTGGAGCTTCGGGAACGGCCATGCCATCGCTTCCCGGGACACGTTTCCTCAGCGGCGCCGGAGCTTCCACACAAATTGCATTTTCTTGGCTTTCCTCGGCTGTACCTTCGGGAACGGCCATGCCATCGCTTCCCGGGACACGTTTCCACAGCGGCGCCGGAGCTTCCACACAAATTGCATTTTCTTGGCTGTCCTCGGCTGGACTTTCGGGAACGGCCATGACATCGCTTCCCGGGACACGTTTCCACAGCGGCGCCGGAGCTTCCACACAAATTGCATTTTCTTGGCTTTCCTCGGCTGGACCTTCGGGAACGGCCATGACATCGCTTCCCGGGACACGTTTCCACAGCGGCGCCGGAGCTTCCACACAAATTGCATTTTCTTGGCTTTCCTCGGCTGGACCTTCGGGAACGGCCATGACATCGCTTCCCGGGACACGTTTCCACAGCGGCGCCGGAGCTTCCACACAAATTGCATTTTCTTGGCTTTCCTCGGCTGGACCTTCGGGAACGGCCATGCCATCGCTTCCCGGGACACGTTTCCACAGCGGCGCCGGAGCTTCCACACAAATTGCATTTTCTTGGCTTTCCTCGGCTGGACCTTCGGGAACGGCCATGACATCGCTTCCCGGGACACGTTTCCACAGCGGCGCCGGAGCTTCCACACAAATTGCATTTTCTTGGCTTTCCTCGGCTGGACTTTCGGGAACGGCCATGACATCGCTTCCCGGGACACGTTTCCACAGCGGCGCCGGAGCTTCCACACAAATTGCATTTTCTTGGCTTTCCTCGGCTGTACCTTCGGGAACGGCCATGCCATCGCTTCCCGGGACACGTTTCCACAGCGGCGCCGGAGCTTCCACACAAATTGCATTTTCTTGGCTTTCCTCGGCTGGAGCTTCAGGAACGGCCATGCCATCGCTTCCCGGGACACGTTTCCACAGCGGCGCCGGAGCTTCCACACAAATTGCATTTTCTTGGCTTTCCTCGGCTGGACCTTCGGGAACGGCCATGCCATCGCTTCCCGGGACACGTTTCCACAGCGGCGCCGGAGCTTCCACACAAATTGCATTTTCTTGGCTTTCCTCGGCTGGACTTTCGGGAACGGCCATGACATCGCTTCCCGGGACACGTTTCCACAGCGGCGCCGGAGCTTCCACACAAATTGCATTTTCTTGGCTTTCCTCGGCTGTACCTTCGGGAACGGCCATGACATCGCTTCCTGGGACCCCCAAAGCAATTAACTCCATCAAGTCTTCCCAGGACTTGTGGCGTCCCCGGATCGAGTTGTCGTCGCCAAATGGCAGCTCATTGAAAAGTAGCCGTGCCATCTCGAATTTCTCCGCTTGGTCTATCCAGTTTGAATGAACCGGCGGTTCAAAGTCGCCGTCTGCAAACTGGGTGGATGCCTCGCAAATTTCAAAAAGCCAAGTTTCAATTATCATGTCGTGGACTTCGATCGGTTTGTCTTCCTTCACTTGTGCAACGACGACTAATTGCTGTTCGGTCATTTTATCAGATAATATATTATAAAAAAGAAACTAAGGATAAGAAACGATAGGATAACAAAGTAAAGACAATATGTCACTGTATAGAGAACTGCGAAACACACAAATAATTTGTTATGAACACTTCGGGCTGTCTATTTGAAATGCAAAGACATCTCGTTGTCAACCTAAGTCGAGAAATCACTAAAACAACCAAACTATTTCCACACGGCCAGATATTTCCAACAAACTACATTAATAGTGAATTATCAAATTTTAAATGAATGAGTAAAATTATTCCAATTCCGGCCATTTAAAGTGCCGCCCTGGGCACAATTTCTGATCAATACACAGACATAATTGAAACACATTGTATCAAAAATGGTATTAAAACAAAGTCAAAAATAACAAATCTGTGATCAGTGTTTACACTGTTTGGATATGACTGATTTATGCTATACTGCACTTTACTGGACCTTCCGGTTTTTGACATTTTCATGTCTTTGCTCTGGCACATAACCTACATGGTGTTTTATTTTACGGTACAAATTGTTCTGGAATTTTAAAGTATATTTTATTTAACTTAAAATACTTTTTTTTTTTTTATTCAATTAAAAATTAATTATGAGTATTACTCCGCAATGCTTTTCCGGTCGAATGACCGAAGATATTATTGGGTATTTGAAAGATTACGAACGAATTTCGGCTGCAAATACCTGGACTGACGGGCAAAAAGTAGTTATGTTTCCGCTGTACCTTAGAGAGGAAGCGAAGATTTTGTTTGAGAAGATAGAGGATGAAACTAATAACTTAACTTGGTCTATTTTAAAAAAGGTGTTCACGGAATACTATGATTCCGAGGAACAACGAGCGCTTTTAAGAGAAAATTTAAATAGGAGAAAGAAACGGCCGGAGGAAACACTACAGGGTTACATTTTGAAAGTACTGGGAGAGTGTAAACGAGTGGATGAGAAAATGAGTCAGAAAGAGATAAGTAAGATAATAATGAAGGGGTTACCTCAGGAATATATGCAATGGACAACTCTACGGTTGATAAGGTAATTTCAAATATTAGGTCATATGAGGCGGACATGGCAGCAATTAATAATAATGGAAGCGAACTAGAATTATCGAGGAGAGAGATTGAGGTACTTAAAGTTAGCAAAGATAACGATATTAGTGATGAAGTAACACGTTTAAGAGAAGAGCTTGAGGAACTTAAAGCTAACATGAATAATAGACCGTTTAAAAGTAATGGTAATTTTAGAAGAAATGTTAATAATTATAGAAATAATGGCAGTAAATTTAATGGTAACGGTGTAGGTAAACATTTTAACAAACGCGATAATAATGATTATAAGAATAGAAGTTATCATAATGACGACACCGCATCCGATAACAGATATGGACGAAATAGACCTAGGAGTAATTCTGATTATGGTAGTAGTGAGGAAGACGATTTTGATAACCATAGTGAAAACAATTACAACGCTCGTTTTAGGAATAATGATAGACAAGAGAGTAAAAATTATAATACTCCACCCCGAGTAGAAAACATAGATAGTTGTGTCATTAATAATAAAAACTATAAAGGGGATAATCCAGTAATCATAGGTGTTTTAGATAATGTAGCACATCATTTTACTGTTGACTCAGGCGCGAGTACTAGCGTTATTAAAGAAAATATGCTTCCCAAAAATCATGTAATTAGTTCTTACGGGAAGACAAAATTATATACAGCCAATGGTTCAAAATTATACTTAGTTGGCAGGTCAACTATTAAAGTATATTTTAATAATATTCCTGTAGAAATACAATGCGCGGTCGTACGAAATTTGAATTGTAATAGTCTTCTTGGAGTTGATTTTCTAATTAAATATAAGGGCGTAGTTAACTTTGCTAAGTCAAAAATACAACTTAATGTAAATAATGAGATAATACACATTGATTTAAAAAAAAAAACATAATAATGGAATTAATATAAATAGGGTTGAAGATAATAACAACAATAGTTATTATAGGGCTAATAAGAATGTGAATAATAAAAATAGTAGGATTAGCCAGAATACTAGGATTAAAAATGGTAAAAGGAATTTTAAGATTTGTGTGCATAGTAATCATAGCGCTAATAAGAATATTAATTTGGGTAACTTTAATTATTATAAATATTATAGACACCCCCGTGGGTTAAATAATAATCATTCTAGGACTGTATTTAATGGGAAAAATAGGACAACCCAAAATTATTATAATGGAACTAGAAATAGGAAGTTTGAATATAATTGTAATAGGTCTACTTTTAGTGCTGTTAACGATCAATCTAGAAAGAGTATTAGCAATAGACAGAGACCCAATTATACTAGCAGACCATTTATCACTAACCAGAAACATAACATAGGGAACTTAGATTATAACCTAGGAACCCAAAATTATGTCTAAACTTTAATTCCTCTGTTTTCCTCTGTCTCTTGATGGAAATTCCAAGAGGCAGTATAAGGAAAAGGAAAAATAAATTTCTATTTTTCTTTTGTAAAAGTATAATTTTTTGGGGGGAATCATACATATAATTATATTATGCGCGAATATATAAATTATTAACTTCTGTTAGGCAGCGTCTTTAAAAATATAATTATAAATTATAATTCTCATTTCTCACGGTGTAAAAGATTACTAGGAATACACCTAGAAAAAAAACACATATTCCTTGACGGCAGACAACTGCCGTTGCAGATTTTATAACTTCAACCTAACCGTTATCCCGTAATTATAAACGTTCGGTTGTAAGGCAATGCCTTTTTTTGTTATTGCGTTGTCAGAAATGAATCATGGACATGTCCGAGTCTTATTTTCTGACAATTCTTGGACACCAATTCCCGACTCGCACTTCATACTATTATTTGAATTTGACACGATTATAAAATATTATAATACGATTCCTTGACTGTTAGAACAGAAATTATAAAACAACGTATTTAAAACTGATGATCATGATTTTAACGGAGAACAAAAATGTAACATGTACAATCACAGACGGTACCCGAGACGATGATATTTATGACACGCAAAACGAAGTCCTATATACACATACACACGCACACACCCGTATGTGCCGATGATCGCAATGTTTTGCTGACGCTGTAATTTTTGGGACAATTTTTATTATAATATTATTATGTTAGAAGGTTTTAATATTATTTTTCATAATAGTAAATAAATGAGTGATTTTTTTCCCCTCAAGACAAAGCAAACCTATATATTATTATCAAATTAAAAAAGAGTAAATATTATCGGTCTGTGTCATGCAATTATGCAAAAGTGTAAACATAATTATCTTTATATTTTGCCCCTTACATATAAATAAGCAATTAGGATCGGCACGCATATGTTCATTTACTAGTAGTTAGATGACCTTCTCGCACAAATCATGTTGTCGGAGAAACACACTATTACTCTAATTAAACCTGACAAAATAAAACAGCTGCATTCATAGACCTATTAACATATTGGCGGCAAATAAGAAAGCGCGGATAAAAGTAATCGTGGATTAGTAGAAAAGGGTAGAAAATACTATTTGAATTACTTAAGTACCTACTTAGGAGTTAGGATAATTTTCCTAGAACAGCCAATTCATTCAACGTATGTGTTTAATAGTTACTTTTTGTATATATATAACGAATACATCAAATCAATCTATGTATATATTTACGACTTGAATGAGTATCTTAAATACTTTTGTCATAAATATAGACGTGGGCCCGTGGTATGAAAGGGTTAAGAAAGGGTCAACAAAATATTTTGTAAAAAACACAAGAGTATTATATTTTAAAATGCTTAGAACATTAATAAACCGCATATTAACTAGTTTAAATATCATTACCTGTTGTTAATTGCTATAATTATTTAATTAACACGTTTAATATAACTTCACGCGACCGTGTATTTTCTACCTTACATGTTTTTTTATAGGTTTTGTCTAATTCGTTTATAATTAGTTTTTTATTATCAAAATATTTGTTTTAAGTTATTTGAATAATTATCACACGACACACCTCGTTTTATGAGTAAATTTTTTTCTACGCGTATGTGGGAAATTCACATAAATTAAATTATAAAAACCTGACGATATAAGCCAATTCCAATTATACCAATATCCTAACTATTTAAATTTTAAGACAATTTTTAGTTGTATATTAACAAGAAAATACTTTAATGACAATTCTTCTGTTGAACCTCGATGACTAGTAAGCTACATACAATATTGTATACTCTTTTATTTCTTTTAAGAAAGTAGACAAAGCTAAAAGCACGAATCACGATTAAAGATCTTAAAACTAAATATTAAATTATCTCTAATAAAGATCTTTAATCATGGCAAACAGTAACAAACGTATTATAAAACATTAAGTTAACTACCACAATTCCTTATACTTCCCGTTATTATCTCAGTTTGTTTATAAAAAATTGATTTGCATGAATGAATATTCCCGATATTTGTGGTCGTGCTGTTGGGAACTTAGGAAGATGAGCGTGGCCGAAAGAAAAATAGTAGACACTCCGCACTTGACAGCACAACACACAACAATAATAATATATTTTAATAACAAATTAATTTCATTAAATTTAATTATATATTGTACATAATAATTACCCAAATATTTTGTACATAATATTTGTCGATATCAAATATTAAAATCACAAAGGAAGTCATAAGAACAAAAACGGTACAAGTGATATTTTTTTGTATGTAGATATTGGTCTCGTTGGCGTTGCTATGGCTAGCCTTGGTCGCCGGCCAACAGGACACCAGTATTCTATCTGAATCACGGTATCTGTCCATCAACGGCCAATTTGGCACTGCTTACAAGCAGGCAAATGGTGTCGAGTTCAAAGAAGAATCGGATGCTGAAGGAAACAGACGCGGCTCATACAGCTATGTGGACCCTAACGGCCAGAGGCGTACCGTAGACTACACAGCCGGCAAAGACGGGTTTAAGGCCATGGGCGATCATTTGCCTGTAGCCCCGACGCCCATTCCTGTCGCTTCCGCAGTTCCGTTGGCGCCAAAAGCCCTATGGTAAAGTTGATTAAATTAAGTTGTCAACACTATTTAAACAAGTATCCGTTATAGATTAAAGAACTACATTTTATTTGTACAACTAATTTGAAATGCATAACTAACATATCAAAAACTACCTTCGTATTTTTCACCTTAATATTTTTACCATGGCCATGAAAGTACGGAGTTCCTATTCTAAAATTGAATTTTAAAATAAAATAATAGGCCTTCATTTAGAAAACTGTAAGTCTATATTCTACAGATAATAAATTATAATTTACAAAACAATATTTTTTTCTTTTAACTTTTAATGATATGTTTTTCGTCTAAGTTGGGTTAGACCTATATTATTATAATTATGGTACTTGGCCACTTGCGAAAGCGAATATTCATAAAAATATTAATTTAGACGTGTTATAATATAGAGAGATATAGATAGTTTATTATGTATATAGATGTTATACAAGTTGTCTCACACTGTTTTGACAAATTTTCAGAACGGTTTGAGAATGAACACCTGTATAATATTACTTAAGTATTACTAACACAATTCGTCCAAAATACTGAACTTGACACCTTTAGGTATAAAATACAATATTATTATTATTATTTATTATTACTTAATACCAAGTATAGTAGTGTAATAAAAACCCTAATCGATTTTGTATATTAAAAACTACCTTTTAATAATAATAGTTCTAATGAAAATTAAAAATTTTAAAACCTGGCTTTTACTGATTTTATTCAGTTTTACAAGGTCAACTTATTAAAGTATTTTAAAATGTACACATTTAATTTCTTTTTCTCGACACTAATTTTTGTTTGTTAAATGTCTTGTTTGATATACTTTTAATAGGGCTCAGCCGGTTGCCCCGAACCAAAAAAAATTGGAGCCTGCGAGCAAGTATGACGACGGTCAATGGAATTCACTATTCAGAGCCTGCTGCCAAGTATGACGGCGGTCAATGGAGTGACATATGGAATTCAGTACCTGCCGCCAAGCACGATGACGGTCTGTGGAACCAACGGAACTCGATCCCAACCACCACGGTACCAAAGTACGATCCGTGGAACCAATGGAATTTAATCCATGACGGATAAGTGGAGCCAAATGCGTTCCGCGGCATCTACCCCGTCACCGTACAACCAAATAGCGTCCGGCAAATTCACCCTCAACAGATCTCCAGACGGGTATAGCTGTTCGTTCAGTCAAAACTGATGCGCATGCCTACCATATAACGAAATAAAAAAATGTACCATACTATTGTTCTCTAGTCAATGTTTTTATTAATATATACTAGTCTTAATAAAAAAAATATTCATAAACATATTGTTGTTATTTATTTTGCTTTCGACGAAAAATATCGATCGAAACAACTAGTGATAATTACTATCTATGATATTTATATTACATATTGCGGTTCGCGGATTAGAGTGTTCATTTGGACGACGGGTAGTCTGCTTGCAGCGGGGATGGTCCGGCCACGTACTTAACAGTGATGGATCTACCTGCCGGGTCCGTGTACGAGTACTGACCTTTGAGGGTGCCGTCTTCAGCCACGACTTGTTGGAAGTTCTGGTGCGACACGACCGGTATCGGCTGGTAGGCTTGTTGCCATGCCGATTGACCGCCGCTTCGGATGGTTGGCACGATTACGGCCGGTTGGACTTGCTGTTGGGAACCGTAGTCATCGGTGTTGGGTTCATCGCGTTCGGCCCAAAGTTCGGGATGGTACTGTCCGTCATTTTCGAGAATTTCGTTTGGCGCACAGTTCGACAACGTCACGGCTGCCAGAGCGAACACAACGGCTACAGCCTGTAACAATGCCTCCAACGTGAAATGTCTATTTTGTTAGTATAGTACTACAGTATTATTATTAATCGGTTGTTAAAAAAACTCTATTTATATTAGGTATTACCTACACCGTCACCCGTCACCCGTCAATTTTACAAAAGAATGGAAATACAAGTTAATAAGCAAAATGTCGGTGATATAAGGTGTAAAGAATCGCATAAGGTACTCACAGTAAAATGCTTCATGGTTAGATGAGTTTAGTCGAAGACGGTCGGACGATCGGTTGGTCAGTCGGAAGGTAGAACTGTGAATTGTGCTTTGTGGAACAGTGACGGACTCTTTTATATGAACATACGTGAAACGAGTATAAAACGATGGGATGGTTCAATGTCAACCAGTCTGCGTGTAGCTTAAAATATCATTTTACTGTTTACATACCTAAGCAGAATGAATCCTTTATTGAACCCAAAACATAAACACTTAAAATAGTATAATATTATAAGTAATTATTGAATAATCGACCTGCCTAATAGAAATAACATTCTTTTCGTAGTTACTCTTCAACTGTGTATCCTTTATGGAGTTGAATAACATGTAGAAACAAATTAGGTAAATTAGGTATTTATTTAAACAAATAAAAATTATTTTACATTGTGTAGTTTGTACTATGATATTATAATAATGTAAATTGAAAATAATAATAATATGATATAGTACAATTTACAAACATTATCCTATCATTATTCATAATCGACTTAGCTTCTTCTGTTTATTAAATATTTAATATTCGTTGAAATAATAAATTGCACGTGCTATTCAATTTTCCGATTTCATGTTCTTTATTATCCTTTAATGATAAATAATGTTCGAACATTTCAGCTATTTTAATACATCAATTGTTTAAATTTAAGACAAACAAACATATAATAAATATAGCCTAAACAAAAATCAGTACCTATAATACATTTCTCAAACATACACTATATATTTGTATAAATATTGAGATATATCATAATATGAATAACCTTATAAATAATAACTTAAAAATTGACGAAATTTGATTAGCTTTTAATTAAATTTTACGAATCTATCAACAGCGCTATCCATTCCTAGATTTTCAAGAATAATAAGATAGCATGTATTTTTATTTAATTTTATTATATATTTATTGTACATTTTAAATATGACTAATTTTTTATAGGTACTAAGAAAGAAATTATAATATTGAGAATATTATACTTAGGGTTTGTTGTTGTTTTAACAGTAAGGTCGTTACACCTCCGAAGATATACATAAGTGGTACGTAAACTAAAGCCTAAGTTAGGCTACATTAGTTAGGCTGCCTAACTAATATAGAGTTATATTTAACGTTATCATACTTTTAATTGAGAAAAAATTAGATATAATAAATATATTTCAGTATTGTTATAACAATAAATTAGATGTTTTCATGTTTTATTTCATTAAATTATCTGTGGAAAAGGACTTTTGGTATTTTTTCAGTTACATGCCTAAAAAAAACCCTCATGTGTGGCCTTAATAAGCCACATTCTTGCTCACGCCTATGTCAACCGACGTTGTTAATCCCTAGCATAGACAAGTATACAGATCCCTAGAGGGTTAATACCAAAGAGTAATAATACACAGACTAATGACTTCAAACTATATAATCTGTGGTTAATATATCAATATGGGTACCATATCAAATACCATTCATGTTATATAGTATTTGACTAAATTGACTATATCTATGCAACAATTCGATAAATAGTGATAACAAATATGCGATATTATAGAAATTAAATTATTACTATTTATTACTGACCAGTGACTATTATAGGAAATAAAATACCGGTACAATAGAAAATATAATAAAACTTCATAATATCTAAAAAAATATACCTAATAAGTAATCACGACTCGTGTGTCTATGCCAATTATTGCTAGTACACACAACACGTAGACTTACGGCTTACGAAGGCGTATACTTTTTATATGATCTCGAAACTTACTTGTTTCCATACATTAATAGTATCTTTATATATTGTTGCAATTTTTCATTAGCCTTATGTTCAGGTTAAATTATTTGAGAATGAGATCTCGTTATATGGTGTTCTGCTTTGTGGCAATATTTTCGCTCAGCATTCTGTTTATCATGTTTCAAGATAGCTTGAGCCGACCGGCAATTGAAACTCTAGTCACGGAAACTCATAAACAGATAAACAATTTCAAAAACTTCAAAGTAAGTATTTGAATTACACAAATAAATCTTTAGGTTTGTAATCAATTTTTTTTTGTACAGGACAATTTAAAGATAGCGGAACAAAAAGAATTAGTTGTTAACGATGAGTATTTAGTATCGCTAGGATTTATTTCCAGTCCTGCTCTGTATCCGGCAAAGTTCTGGAAAAATACTACTCTACCTGTTGTTGTTACTTACGTTTTAGATGGTGAACATGGACAAACTATTGGACTTATACGATGTATAAACAAATATTTGTCCAATCATATTATACTAATGTACAATTTAGGAATACCGGATTACCAACTTCGCCTTGTAAGATTATAACTATACATTTGTTATTTCATTAGTGAAATGAACCATACAGCATACGTGCAAAAATTAATGAGATACTAACAGTTAACTATAGAATATTTATTTCCTATAAATATCTCATTTTTAGACTTGTAATGTATTATACCGTCACTGGTGATTTGCTGTTTAATACAATGTGTTATTAAGATTAGTTTACATAAATGTATTTTTTTTATGTTTGCAGATGCATCAGTTTTGCAATAATAGTTCTCGTTGTATAATTATGGAATTTAGTTTGTCGAAATTCCCATCACATGTTAGTCATCCTCAAATTAAAGCTTATCGACCACTCGTGTTGCAAGTAAGATGTTTCACAAGACATTTTTATACACTTTATTTACAATTATTCCCTTCATACAAACTTGCAGTTATCTTTAATATATTTTATACAATGTTTTTGGTTATTACCAGTCCTTTTTTACAGGAATTATGTTTCCTTTCATGTTACTATGAATACCTTTTTTACTTCAAAAGTAAAAAGAACTAATTCCAACCCTTTTTTTACACTTTTAAAAAAATCATTCATTCTTTTTACCATTTTTGTATAGAATAAACTCATTTTCTCTCAGATTCTTCAGTTAAACATTTTAGGTAGGTAAATTCTGGTTTCACTAGCATCTCAAGTGCAAAAAAAAAAAAAAAATTATATATTTGAGTAGAAAAGTTATAAATTATAATACATTAATTTGTGAAACATTCAACAGAGTATTAGAGCTGTTGATACAATTAGGGTTGATAGTTAACACTTAACCTATTAACATTTTGTTGCTTTTATTGTATTATAATTTACAGTATAATGAAAATATTTTTCAGATACTTGTTAAATTTAACTTAGCAATCTAGAAATATGTAATTTCACCTTTTATTTGGTTTTTTCTAATAAAAAAAGTGACAACTGATTTTCAAAAAAAAGTCATATATGTTATATAGTCTATAGTCTCACTCTAGACCTACTTAAATCGAATTTCCAGAATTTTTAATTCATAATTCATGATAAAATTATATTGGAATTAGTTCCAAACCATTTCTCAAAAAATGTACTCTTTTCATTAACAACATATAATGTAATTATATATATATGTTTATAGGATGCATTGAATCAAGCTGGGGCAGTCTTATTTCTTGATCCAGATGTTCGAATTATATCTTCTGATATTACTAAACTTTTCAGCACTTACAACAATAAATCTATAGCCGGCTGGGAGACAAGAATAGCTACAACTACTGTAACACATCCTAAAATGTTTGATTATTTTCGTACTCCAGCAGAAAACTTTTACTTTTTACCTACAGTCCAAGTTGATAAATTAATAATGTACAACACTGAAGACGTACATCAGGATATTATGTTACCATGGGTTCAGTGCGCTCTCATTAGTGAATGTATTACTCCAATTGGTAAGCAACATCAGTATTATTAAGTTAGGCTTATAATAAAACTACTAATTAACTTTTATTTTCCATAGGAGTGCAAACTAAAGGTTGCAGGTATAATAAAAAACCACAATACAGATATTCAGGTTGCCATGGATTTGACGTTTCTGCATTGAATATTGTGCTGGGCATACATTATCAGTTTGATAGTGCACCATATGTTATCTCAGAAAAACCCGACAACTTCTTTACAAAAATCTCGGCACGTGAAGCAGAACGAGTTTTACATAATTTAATCCTAAATATGACCGATTCACCTGCAATTACTTAACACAGTAGCATTATTTTTATTTTTTTATTTGGAAAGACTAAAAACTATTCGAGTAGTAACTTTTTTTATCTATTATTTCCTATAATTTATGATAATTATTGTATTTTACAATTATTTTTTCTCACTATAAATATTAAATTGTGCTATATAGTTTTTTTGTTAAACTAGTTATTAATATAACATGTGTTATATATAAGGCTGTGAAATAATTTTGAGTTATATTTAAACAAAACCATTGATTTTAAATAATTCAAATAAAATATTATTTTGTCATTATTTTTTTATATTTTTCAAAAAAGTATTAGTAATTATTGTTATAGTTATTGGCCATATTTCCAAAAATTAACATGTGAACCGATTCTAGATGATTTTTTTTTTAATCAAATGGAGTACAGACTTGCTTAAATAGCATGAAGGGCAAGTTTTCACAAAAATTTTAACTCTTCTTAAATTCATGCTATTAGTTTTATAAGAATTATTTGCTATTGTTTAATGCTAACGGCTAACAACTTAATACTTTATCATATATTTTGATTTCAAAAAAAATGACTTAGCCAGTTAACATTATTTAGTCTAAAAATTTTTCTTAGAAAAATTCAAAGTAACTTTCTATCATATTTAGTTTAATGCACTTTTCATTAACCTTCGGCAGTCGCGTCGCTTCCTATCTTGCTGAAGAAAAATTTGGTTTATACATTTCCCTATTGTGTTAATAATCTATCATTTAGTTTCTAGACTCTAGAGAATAGCAAGTTACACTACTAGGCTGATCTCACGCATTTACATTGCACTAATGGTGTCAATGCAAGAAGGTTATAAAGCTACACAATATACTTCGAATATAGGAGACATTTTATTTGACACAAACATTATTCTTTTATTATTGATATCTAATTATATAAATAACATAAAAAATAAATGATAAAACAAAATCTTCTGTATATTGTAGATATAATTAAATATTTAGTGGATCATTAATCAAACACATATTTTACATATTAAATGACAGTTATAACACAACAGTTGAATCAATTTTTAATTAAATTAAATACTATATGTTAAGCAACATATTATTTTAATGACTGATACAATTAAATCTATTAATTTAGTTAATATAATGCATGAAACAAAAAATAATGTATAAATTGTTAATACATTAAACAAAATGCAAAAGAATAATTACTGAACAACTTGGGTTAGATTATGAAATGTATTTATTATGCACTAAGAGTCCGTTTACCTTTTACAAATAAATAAAGGCAAACAAATTAAAATCTAAAAAATATTTACACACATTTTGTTTACGATACCAATACACAATAGGTAGGATTATTAAGAATATACCTAATGATTTGTGAAAAACTAAAAATTGCAACACCATATTAATGTCATTATTATTATATTTAAACCAAGCATCTTCAATTGGACTTGTTTCATCAGCCTTGACAAATTCTTCTTAATTAAAATGTAATCCCTAGTCTTCAAAGAAAATTTCTTAAACTCTTTCCGCACCTTTGCAGAACAAATGAAAATACAAATACATAGTAATTATTAGTAAGGAAAAACACAAAAAGCATTTTATATAAAAAATTGCATTAAATTAAAAATACTAGAAAAGTATTTTGAGTCTAATAATTACATAGTTTATTAGTTATAAAACGAATTTAATATTCATAAAAAAAGAAGAAAAGAATATGGGACATAAACAAAGACTGCTTTAATTCTTCATAATAAGTTAGCATTATTCCACGCTGGTAATCCATCAGCTCATTAGCTTTTAATACCGACCTGTGTTAATGATTAAAAAAAAGTTAATTAGATTAAGTGGCCATAATAATTAATTATGCTTTAAAAAATTATATACCACATTTTAATACAAGTACAATATTTGCTGAGAATGATTAAGATAGCCTATCATGTTTGATTATTTTTTTTACTATCAATATATTATTTGAAGATAGTTTAGTATTATTTTGGTTTGATTTAATTACATTTAAATTAGATAGCAGTAATAATATAATTGATAAAATAAAAATATATTGTAAATTGTAATGTTTATAAATAAATGTATTATAATGCAGATTACATAATATAAAATTAATAATTATGTGCTAACTAAATTTAAACATGTTGTTTATTCGTTTTATAGCACTAAAAATCAATGATTTTTAACATTATAGGTGGTAAAAAAAATATTTAATTGTACACTGCAACCAGAATAAGATTATTACTGCAATGATGGCTATTAAGTTTTAACTTGGTGGTTGAACACTGTTGTACAATAGCCAGTTTGACTGAGGCGGTGTAGTCATATGGTATACACTAATGACGGGAATCCGAAAATCTGGATTTTCCACAAAAAAACGCTATTTAAGCCACTTAATAATCTTATAAGTATTCAATATTTTTACAGTAAAAAAAAGCTGCGTATCTAAGTAAGAGCGTTTTGATGAAAATGTAATAATAATAAACAACACCAAAAAGATAAACACATTTCGGATTTATTGAAATACAAAAACAATTTAGTCAATGTCAAGGTTTTTTTTATTTTTAAATTTTCATCAAAACATTCTAACTAAGTACACAGCTTATTATCGTAATAATATTTAATATTTCTAAAATTTTTAAAGTGTTTTTTTTTTTAAATCAGGATTTTCAGATTCCCATCATTAGTATACACTATTTGTATGCCCTGCCACTTTTTTAAAGTATGTACTTATAACAAAAATTGTGTATTCTAGCTTATGGCAGATGAAGTGTCACTGAAACCAGCCAACTGCACACTCATCTTATTTTGGTTGCATTATAGTTGCCTAGTTTTTACACTTTAGTATTTATTCAAGTATTCAATTTATTTCCAATAATTAATCGGTTCAATTTAAAAGATAAATAAAATAAACGTGGTATCATTAAAAAGATGTAATAATAAAAATGACCATTTGTAGACTCACACATAAAAACATTGTTGGTAATTATAAAAAGAGAAATACCTATGATTTGAATATCAAACACTTATCAAGAAAAGTAGCCTTATCCCAATTTGTTAAATTCCATTTTCAATCAAATTATTATTAAGTCATTACGTAGCAATTCCAATGTTAATGTTATTTAGCAGTTTAGTTAGATAGTGTAATTATGATAAGATAGGATATGAAACAAATGATATTTTGAACTGAAAAAGTCAATAGATAAGAATAAAAAAGAAGATGTTATAATCATACCAATATATTATATATAATGTACAAAGAAACGTATTCATTTTAATTAATTAAAAACTGAAATAGCCATTTGGAACAAGGAAAAAGTCTAATCAATTTTGGTTGTCATTTAAAAAGCAAAATGTTTACTTTATTTATTTTATTAAGGATAAAATTTTTCGAATTTAAGATAATATTGTACCAGCCTCCTATACAGAACAACAATTTTTCCTAATTTTAAAATGTGCATAACTTTTAAGACTGCCCCCAAATTATTTTTATAACTGAAAATTTGTTTTAAGAGGAAATTTACATCTTTCTATAAATTTACCTCTGTAATTATTGGCGAAAACTGATATTTTTCTTGACTAGACTTCAAGATCTTCATCAGGTCTATCAATATCTACTCATTGGGTCATATTCATTATAGGTCTTCGTGTGTTCTACTTTTGCAATTTGAAGAGTCTTCTTTTATATTATATTTTTGTTACGTTTTGTTTTGTTTTTTTTTAAAAATATACATAAAAGTTCTAACATAATGTAATTTGAGAAGTCTTCAAGTCAATTTTATTATTATTATCTTGACAAATTGTAATATTTTCTTTTCTTCAAATATGTTCTTCAGGAAATGAATAAAAAATTGAATATGTAGGAAATCTTGATTAAATACTTTGAGAGCTGAAAAACTGCATTAAGTAATAAATTAAATGGATAGTAATTTGTTTCTATACCCGAAAAAAATATTTAGGGAAACTAAACGAAACAACCGAATTAAAACTGACAAGAAAACAAAAAATAACCTTAATTAAAAACAAAACAAAACAAGAGAAAGGCACCTAACTTAAAAAACGGGTAAAATTCATATGAAACTTACGTGGAGAAAATGAACGTGAACGGGATCGGTCATAGCGTGATCTGCCTTTGTAATATGGTGATGGAGATCTGCGATCTCTGTAGTGTCCACGACCACCTCCTCCGCCACCTCCTCTGTATCCACCATCATAATAATCACTGTTAATGTTGTATTAATATAACATTAGCAACTTCATTAAAATGAAGTCAAAGTGAAATTGAGGCGATACTCACTCATAATCCCTATCTCTATCATACCTATCGTAACGATCTCCACGGTCATATCTGTCCCGGTCATATCTGTTTTCATATCTATCATAACCTCGTCTTCTAGATGACCTTTCTTCTCTCATACTAAATATAAAATAATAGCATTGTAAGATTTATGGTGATAATCATTAGTTAAATGTAAGTAATTACGTAGGTCTGCCCATGTAAATTCCAGGTGTTGGAGTATGTGGGCGTTGTGTAATAGAGAAATCTACACGAATCCTGCGACCATCTATTTCCATTCCAGAACATTCTTCTTTAGCTACCTTAGCATCTTCATGTTTCTTGAAATAAGCAAAACCAAAGCCTCGAGATCTTCCACTCTGATATTCAAAGTAATATATAAGTAAGAGATTTCATATTTAAATTTAGTTCATCTAACTTACTTTAGCATCAATAATAATCAAAATTTTATCAATAGATCCATATTTGGAAAATATATCATAAAGTTGATGTTCAGTTGTATAAACACTTAATCCAAATATGCCCAAGCATTTGTTAGGTTTAGGATTTTCCTATAAACGAATATAAGTCAAGAGTAGTAAACATTTAAGTTAAAACAAAACAATAGTGTTTAAACTAAAAAAGTACTTACATGTCTGCTACGTCTGGAGCCTGATCCTCTAGAATGACTGCGATAACTGCGCTTACGTTCACCAGAATAGGAACGAGACCTTGAGCGTGATTTAGAGTAAGAATGTTTAGAACGGCTTTTGTATTTACTTCCGTTGCGGCTGGGAGGAGGCGTAACTGATCTGGAGCGAGTTTTTGAACGAGTAGGAGATCGACTGCGTGATTTACGTTCACTTAGTGATCTACTACGGCTACGACTCAGTGTAGGAGAACGCGATTTAGAATGGCCATTTCGATCCTAAAATATAAAGATTAGCATTTAAATTAACATAACCTCAATTTTCAACTAGACTGTCACATTATAATAACTAGGCGAAAAATCAAAACAAAACGAAGTAGTATGCTATTTTAAGGCCGACAAATTTACTAAGCAATTTATAATGTCTTAAGCTATCATAATTAATGAGTAACATGAAAAAAACATCAGTGCTCACCTCGACGTCGCTCATTTTGTTGATGCGGAATTCACGTGTCTATACAAAGTTAGAGTCACGCTCACCGGTTTTCTGAAAATGTGTGACGTGGTATTTACCACAGAAAGATTATTAAAATAAAAATACACTAGAACACAATGAATATTCAATATTAAGTAAACACAAAAACACGACACGAGAATGGTTATTTGGATGTTCCGCGAAATAACAACGAAAAACGCCGCTGGCCGCTGCGTATACCAGCCGAAGGATAAAATGAAGACGCCAAACGTTAATAAACAATGCCTTGGCCCGTACCGCTCCTATCCATAGTTGTGCGTCATTACACAGTGTATACAACTGAATTTTCTATTTAATATGTAATAACAATAAAACACTCTTCTACATTTTAAATACTCCTTTAATTTAAATTAGAATGCAGTTTAATAAATTACCAATTGTTTTCTTGCGATTTTTATATATTTTTAATAAGTTATTTCAAAATTATAGTTTTCTTTGAAATTATGTTGGCTACGCTTAGTAATTTGGAAATCGCTGGTCATGCTCGTCTTGCCTTGTCAGTTTTTTAATATTTTTGTTCTTGTAAGCTGCTGCCAAAAAAGCATCATTTTGTTTTCATAAATAGCAAATTACAAGTATTTATTTAATAGTTTTCTGCTAAAATGGCAGGTGCCACAATGCTCGCACAGTTGAATAAACCGTCCGATTACGGAATGAAGAAAGTCGAGACCGAACACGACAGGATCATGGAACGAGAAGCTCTCATCCTGTCTCAAGGAGAGTTGTTAAAAAAAGAAGGTAAGGCCAAGGAATTGGCTGCATTAATCAAAGAAACTCGGCCTTTTTTGTCCGAAATCAGTAAAGCTAAAGCAGCCAAACTGGTGCGCTCTTTGGTCGATCTATTCCTTGACTTAGAGACAGAAACTGGCATTGAACTCCAATTGTGTAAGGAATGTATAGAATGGGCCAAAGAAGAACGCCGAACTTTCTTAAGGCAATCTTTGGAAGCTCGTCTGATGGCCCTATATTTTGATTCGGGCATGTTCAAAGAAGCTTTGCAACACGGTGCTGTACTCTTGAAAGAGTTAAAAAAATTAGATGATAAAAACTTGTTGGTTGATGTGTTGTTACTAGAAAGTAAAGCTTATCATGCACTGAATAACTTATCTAAAGCTAGAGCTTCATTAACTTCAGCTAGAACAACAGCTAATTCGATTTACTGTCCTCCAAAAATGCAAGCATCACTTGATTTGCAATCTGGAATTTTACATGCTGCTGATGAACAGGATTTCAAAACAGCATACTCTTATTTTTATGAAGCTTTTGAAGGATTTGATAGTGTTGACAGCACATCTAAAGCCTTAAAGGCTTTGAAGTATATGCTCTTATCAAAAATTATGTTAAATAATGCCGAGGATGTGCAACAGATTGTCAGTGGAAAATTAGCTTTAAAGTATACCGGACTTGATGTAGAAGCAATGAAAAGTATAGCTAAAGCTAGTCATAAAAGGTCCTTGGCAGATTTTCAAATTGGATTAAATGAATACAAAAAAGAATTGGAAGAAGATCCTATTGTAAGAGCTCATTTGGACACATTATATGGAAATATGTTGGAACAGAATTTATGCCGAATAATTGAACCTTACTCCAGGTAAGAACACATTTGTGATGACTGATGAATAATTTACCTGTGTATCATAATGGTAGTAAATTTTTATTTAAAAAAAAAATATATATATATATATTATTGGGTCTATTCCTATTATCTTGACTAACTATTTAATCAAATAGGATTATTCATGTTAACTTGATTACCAATTAGCAGGGTGGTACTACCGAGATTCTATGGACTTCATAACATGTTTTTTTAATGTAGTCTTCAGGCAGTCTGTTATCAGTGTCCATTCCTCCCTACCATCAACATTATTAGTACTAACGCTATCTTAAAAAATTCTTTCTTAATTACTTAACCTTGATTAGTCACTCTTTCAAAGGAGTCCTGTCTGGGACCCCTGCAATGGGATCTATAAGCCCACACACCACCAAAAACCAATTTCAAATGCATGATAATTTATATGGGTAACTTTTAACTTTCCAGTAGGCACACTGTTATACATAATACTGAAACTTTGTAATTTCAATCTTTTTTACTTAAATTGTTATATTTACATATTATGTTTTATATGTAGGTATATATATTGTTTTTATTTTATTACAGCCTATTATTAAATTAAGGTGTAAGGTACAGTAAATGCATTAATATTTGATACAAATTAATCAGATGTACGATTATCACTACCTTTAGTTTTGTTGTAAATTATACAAGTACTCATGTTATCACAAATGGCTTGCCCATTGCAAGATTAACAGTGGTTACAATGAAATATATATTTTTATGTATAATTGTTATTTAATCAGATTTTACTTATTCTACTCGAAGAGTGAAGAATAATGTTAAATCTATTGGTAGAAAAAAAAAAAAGTACATTTTATTGTAATTGTAACATTATATTGTTTTAGGGTTCAAGTTGAATTTATTGCCAAGTCTATCAAATTGCCAATGCAAAGTGTTGAGCGTAAATTGTCACAAATGATTTTGGACAAGAAGTTTCATGGGATATTGGACCAAGGAGAAGGAATTCTCATAGTGTTTGAAGAAGCTGAAATTGATGAAACCTATGAACTTGTTTTAGATAATATAAACAGTATGGGAAAAGTAGTAGACACATTATATCAAACTGCAAAAAAATTAACATAAACCTTCACTAAATTTAAAAATTTTAAAAAAATTCAATAATTATTTTTAAATTTATATGTATTCTATTTAAGTACCTACTGTGTTTTTCAATTAACAATGAAATAAATAATAACAAAAACAGTAGTATTTTTTTATTTGTAATACATTTTTGGAGATAGGATAAATAGCAATGATTATGTTTGGTAATCAAAAATATGTATACATGGGTGTTATATTATAATTTTTAATTTGAGTCTTTTTAAGTTATTCTTTGTAAATAGTATAATTGTACATTGATATAATAATTACTAATCGTTAACAACAACTTTGTTTTAATTTCCTTATTTGTCATAATATTTTAGTTTTATTATGCCTTGGTATCCAAATTCATGTTTTGTATGTTCATTCAAAACTATTATAACGATGTACTAAACTAAACTTTACTTGGGAAGAGATAAAAAGTATCTTCACACAAAAATGTATGTAGATTGTCTCAAATTTAACGCAAATAGCTCCGGGAGAAGGCGGCTATAAAAGATAGTTGTATATTTGGAAGAAATTGTATCTGGTACTTTTTTAATAGAAGAGACGGATATGAAAAAAATTGATCACCAATAGCTATTGTACAATTAAATTTAATAGTACAGATTAGAGAAATTAAAGTAAAAGCAAAAAGGAAAAAAATGCTAAAATTTATAATGATAATTAAAAAAAAATAACTTATTATCATTGTGACATATTTGCAGTGGTGTATTTTTAGATTTTAAGCCTAACTCACTTTTTTAAGCATGCATGTACTCGTAACAAAAATTGTGCTTTCACAGAGAGTACACTCACATGCATATATACAGACCGGTTAGGTTAGGCACTCGTGTGCCTCAGGCCCATAGCCAAATAACGGCAGCACTTTCACATTCAGCGCTGCTACATGGTACTCATTATCCGCCCTAACCTCGCACAAGCTCAGCTTTTCTGGGATGGACGTTGAAAACTAAAATACATTAGTAGAGGGCAGAGCCTTAACCTCATAAATTAATAACGACTTTTTTTTTTATAAATGCGCATAATTTATAATAATACATGTAGGTATTGTTTTCCTTAAAATGCCGATTAATGGTTATGGAAAGAAACTAGGTTTTATTTCTTTGTCAACCATTGAACCATCGTCAACTATACTCTATTGTGAATTATCTACACACAGCTGCTGCCAGTGGTTCAAAATAAATAAAAGCGCATGTTTTACGTCATACAAACAAAATACGTAAATTAGCAGCCAAATCAAGTTCTAACTTCAACAACTCGTAAGTAAATTTTCAATTAAATATTTTGATTTTCAGATTAGTATTATAACCTAAAAAAAAATGTATTTTGCAAGTACTATTTTTTTTTTATCACTTATTTTTAAAATTATTACCGTTACAGTAGTATATTATTTTTGTCTGTGAAAAGTAGAATGATAGAACATGATAATAATAAAACCATTTACTGCAATAAAATCTCAATAAAGTATATAGTTTATGTTAAGGTGGATATATTATTAAAAGTGATTAAAATTTAAATAAAAACAGAAGTTAAAATGTTAGGTAATGTTTAATTTCATAACTACTGTAAAAATAAGAAATTAAAAAAATCTTTTTCAAGATAATTAGGTAAATTACTCCTCCTTAATTAAACTACAGTTCATGGTTTTTCATGTATCCTACGAACTATGTGTAATATACAAGGATAACACATTTTTGCTGTGATGACATTTTAATACAAGTTGCAATTTACATCATTTTTCATTATGGTGTAAAATATCCATGTAAGTAGCGCTGATCCCATTTTTTGATAAGATACAACTATAATATGACATACTCTTTTATTATAAATCAAAATCCCATTCTCCTAGACAATTTTTTAATCATAAAGGAAAATTATTATTTTTTTTAAATTGGCACCTTAAACTAACTTTTTCACGTCCTCTAGATGTAACCCATACCTATCAGTAGGTAATAGTAAGATTTCATTAACCTCAAATTTGATTCGAAGCTAACAACTAACAAGTAATAATATATATAAGTTACTGCAGTTCAAAAGGTTTTATAATAAATCCTCATTATAAAATGAATACTCATTATTATATAGGAGTAAGTAATAACTGACATTATATGATATTCATACAAATTGTAAAATGCTCTTATTCTGAAGATTCTATATTATAAGTTTCATTATCATTTTCTTTCTCCAATTTTTTTCTTGCTTTGCTCCTTTCTTTTTTCATTTTCTTTTTATGTGCCAATTGTTCTTTTATTAATTTTTCTTTGTGTTCCATGATAGCTTTTAGTTTGGTAACTTGATCAGCTAAGAGGTTTAATAATTACATTTATTACATTTTATGCAAATATATTATTATTGCTAATTATTATACTTAGTATACACAAAAACTTACTTATAGCTTCAATTTTTAAAGGTGTTGGATTAGGTCTGAACATACAAGGCGCAATTTTAAAATGTTCGTGGATTGGACATATTATGTTGTTATCTATAGGAACCCAAGTCAGAGAATCTGGAACTTCAGATTGTTGTAACACAAAGTACATGTTAAGTAAATTGAAACCTCCATATCTAAAAAAAAAAAATTAAATTAAGTAATTCAAAAATTATATGAAATGTTGTTATTTTTTTTATTTATCGACTAACGGAGATGATTGATATATTTCTATTTGAAAAGGTTTTTTGGGATTGTGCAATAAAACATAATCTCCCTCATCCAATTGTTTAAGTTTTTCAAACATTAATAAAAGTCTCAGTAAGTAAGATTGTTTTTTTTCATCAATTTTTGTACAAATTTTATCAGCTTGTCTCTCTTTTATCATCATCAAATCCATATTGTACTGCACCGAAACTGTAACAGTTATTCATACATTAAAAAATGTAAAAGCAATTCTAATTTTAGCTAATTTTTAAAAGGAATAGAAAAGAAAAGTTGATTAGCTGTATTTATCCTCTATCTTTCTTTATAGTCTTGATAACAAGTCATAATTTTTATATTTTTTTAGTTTACTTAAATGCTGTGTCTAGAGACACGGACGTCCATGTTTACAATGCAATCGCCAGTTTTATTGACTTTTTAACACACGTAAAATCAAATTGGCCCACATATTTTATTAAAACATTTTAATGTACACATAAAAAATGTATATACCTATTTAAATATTTTAAATTGGCCCATCATATTTTATTTTTAAAATCTATTATTGTACGGCGGGTCACCAAGTGTTTTGGCACTCTATTGCTTCACTTGCTCGGCGCCGTTGCTTTGCTCTGCTTAACTAAACATTTTCTAGGCTTGCAGACTACAGTTTAGGTGGAGGTCACAGGTTCAATTTAAGTAAAATTGAAATTTTAGAATGAAAAGGAAAATTTAGAATGAAAATAAAGGAAAAAAAAATACGATATAGTTAATTGAACACAAGATTCCGTATATTGATCAAGCGCACTATCGACTGCACTCATACCCAAGACACTAAAAATAAGCATTCCCGCGCTTCTTAAGCTGTCATACGAACGTTCGTGTATGCATTATCAATACGGAAATCTGTTTACACATTATAAACACGGACGTCTGTAATTCTTGACACAGAGTTACTTTAAATGTCTTCATAGAAGAACAAAGAAGAACATAATCATTATTTTAAATTTTTATAAAAATGTATACATTATTTTTGACGTGTAGTTTATCATTAAGGGTATAACATTATCAAAACTAATTAATTTAATGATCCTTAATTTTTAATTCTATTTAACTTAACTCCCAATACTTAAAACATCCAATTATTAAGATAACTACAAACATAAAACAAAGATATTAAACACTCAGTCCCACGAGAGAACGGTACTGAGCAAAAACCAAAAACGCATCACTCCTGTCTCCACGGGTACATACGGAAGTATTGCGTTTTGGTTTCTGCGCATTACCATTTTTTCGTGAGACAGAGTATATATATTTTCATACTACCTAAAGTAAGTTTGCTCTTTGGTGTTCTAAAGTATGTATCCATCCAATATTCAGCGAGTTGTTCTTCAGTAACTTTTTCAAAGCCGAATTCTGGCTGGTACTCAACTTTGGGTGTCAACACTTTTTCTGTGCGTTCATTGTTGGGTAAAACTATCTAGTAAATAATAAAAGCATTTATTATCTATTAAAATAAACATTTCCGTCAGGACTTATTTATCTCTTACTTGTACATGTGGTTTGCTTCTAATAAGTAAACTATACAATTGTTTATTATCATTTTTACATGATTGTAATATCCATTTATCATAATTGTATTCGCATTTATCCATAACACTTTCACTACCTGGTATTCTAAAACATGATTGTAATAATTCGACATTTTAGTTTATGCAAATAATCTAGATGGCTACATAAGATATATACTTCAGGGGCGTATGAGGGTGGCTGAGGGGGCTTCAGCCCCCCCCCCCAGAAATTTTTTTAGTCTGCCAATGGGCCTATATGATGTGAATTGTATAAGTAAAATTTTTTATTGGGTGTTAGTACCTAAGCTCCCCCCCCAAAAAAAAAGATCTACATACGGCCCTGATATACTCTGTTCAAAAAAAGAAACTACATGTGTAGAAACTGAAGCGCACCATTTTTGGCTGTGCCAGCACAGCAAGGTGTGACACGTTTCAATCTCTGCCCATGTCGCTTCTTATTTTGAACAGAGACCTGACATCAATATCTGTGTACAGGTTTCCATGCATGTTCAAATACACTGCACAGGCAATCTCAGATTGAATGAAAACTAAATTCATATGTGTAGAAAATGACGTACCCGCGGATAGTGTACACAATTTAAGTTATCGAATATATGTATACATAGAAAAGTAGTTTTCTGTAGTCCACTGTTCACTGGAATAGTGCGATTTAAGGGCCTGTAAAGCTGCACAAGTATACCTGAAAGGTCTACGTATTGTGTAGAATGCTTTAGAGCGGTTACAAAAGGAACACCTTTTAGATGCCGAAAGCGGCATCTTTTTCCGCGGCGAAAGTAATCACTAGTCTGTAGCATTACCATCTGTGGCTATGGTCGTTTATAAAACTATCAACACTGCCCCAGTTTTTTTTCATCAGCAGCGATTCTGAGTGGCTTAAAGTAAAAAAGTCCTTAGGATGACTGCACTCACAACCGAACAAAAATATTACAGACAACAGCATTTTATTTAAACTTTTAAAATATAATGTTTTGCGGTGGTGGATTATTAAAAAACATTCATTCTATTTTATTTTTATTCTAAATACACAGCAATTATTTGCCTTTAACAATATTATTATGTTTATAAGCAAAACAGTATTAATCTGAAATAATATGTTCAATTGCTCTATGCAGTTGGCTGTCTTTAACATTTAAATTCTTATAACAAGTAGTTAAAAAAATTACTTACACTTTCCTAAAAGTTTTTTTAAGTTCTTTTCTGAGATAATAACACAATTTTTCTTGTTGAGAATAATGCCCAGTGGATAATGCTCCTCCGATATACAACTTTTTGTCACTATCTAAAATCAAAATTTGGGGATTATAAAATGTTTTTACCATTTAAAGTTTTAATTCATGTTAAATTTATTTGCCTTTTTGAATATTAACAGGTATAAGCCATAAACTGTTGGGTTTTTCAAGATTCATTATATGCTTTAGGCTACTTAAACAAATATTTATATCTGTACAATGCTCTTTTGACAGCCTGCAACATACTTCATCTTTGATTACTGAAAACAAAAACCTTGGTATTAAGTAGAGCCTGAAATTTTCCAGGAATATTATGGAATTGTATTTGTATACGTCAAAATACATTAAAAAACCCAATTTTCGGGAAATTAGAGATCTTTTTTTCTGAAAACACATTTTTTTGAAAATTTAGATACCTAGTATTAAGTATGTTTATAAGTTATAGGTTGACCATCAGGATTTTAAGTTGTAATGCTAACATTTACAATAATATACAGTTGACTTATTAAAATAAAAGTTATAAATTAAAAAACAATGTCTATTCAAAGCATCTAAAAAAAGACATTTAACTTTCATAACTTACACGGTAACTTTGGAGAAGGACAATATATACCATTAGTAAAGGATATTTTCGAACTTTCCTTAGTTATATCAACTATTGGTATAAAAGCCATATACTTTGTGTCCTGGAAAAATAGTTTTAATTATACATATATAGTAATTAATTATTTAATGTACATAATAATTATAATATGTACATTCATTTATTATTAATTAATAGAAACTTATAAAAGTATTGGTTGTTTAATTAGAGTAATCTCTATTTAAAAACAAAAAAATTTAAGAATGTTTTGAGCATATCAAATGTGTTAGTAACTTACTGCTGTTTTTATATGTTCACATAATGTCATTTCAACTTTGTCAAGCATTTCGTCATCTCTATTAAAATCAATTTTCATCTTAGATCTATATGTTCCATGGTAATGAGTTTTAATATAATTATTGATGAACTAAAATACAAAATATTTGTTAATTAAAAAAAATATTTTAACACTAGCATGTGAGACTACAATATCGAAGAATCAGTTTGGGTTTATGCCAAGAAAATCAACTATGGAACCAATATTAAAATATAAAAAGAAAACTGTGTATGGTATTTATAGATTTAGAAAAGGCATATGATAGAGTTTCCAGAGAGGTTTTAAGGTGGACGTTAAGGAAGAAAGGAGTATCAAGGGTGTATGTGAAAGTAATAGAGGTAATGTATGAGGGGCAAGTACAAGAGTGAAGAGTGTCTGTAGATAAACTGAAGATTTTAGTGTAAGAGTAGGTGTGCATCAAGGTTCAGCGTTGAGTCTTTACTTGTTCTCTTTAGTAATAGACGAGATTATGAAAGATATACAGGGGGAGATGCCATGGTGTATGATGTTTGCGGATGACATAGTGTTGGTGGGGGAAAGTCCGGAAGAATTGGGTGAGAGATTTGAAGAGTGGAGAGAAGCGCTTGAAGGGAAAGGACAAAGGATTAGTAGGATAGCTGGGGTGATTGAACGGGATGTAGAAGACCGAGCTCTATGGAGGTGTAGGACTAGGGTGGCCAACCCCATGTAGTTGGCAATGTAAGGTGAAGATAAAGAAGAAGAAGAAGATTATAACAACAACATATACTATCATAAAATAAAAAGGATAAAAATTTCTTACTTTACATGCAGAAGCAACATATTCATCAACATTTGGTTTAATATCTAAGCGCCGATATTTTAAACGTTCTTCCCATTTTTCTGATAGCCAACTTATAAAAAGTTCTTGTTCATGATCAATAATTTCTTTATACGACTAGACCAATTAAATTAATACAAGATAAAAACTAAATATAATTAATATATATATATATATATTAGTATATAGTAAAGAAATTAACATTTAAACACTAAACCATAAAAATTCAGCGCTAAAGACAGACTGTTAGACTGTAGTTACTCATTTATTAGTTGTTAGCACTGAAAATTACAACACTGTTACGAAACTATGTATACGCATAGAGTGTATTATTTTTATGGTTAAGGGTTTAAATATTAATTTCTTAACCTAATAAAAATAACTTACTTTAAAAGCTTTTGAAGCTAATTCAGTAGGTTTTTTTAAATACCTCACATATTTGTCCATTAATGATATACTTAACACAGAATAATGTGGTGGCATGTTACAACCAAATAAAAACTGATTAGTTAATTGATAGTTTTGTTTGGTCTGAAAAAAAAACAAAAATTTTTTTAACAGTAAAAGTGTCAGTAATTACTACATAGTGTAGCGCCTTCCGTGCGCGTCATTAATAATAAGGGTAACCCACAAAATGTAGACGTCTAAAACTGTTGAACTATTTACAAGCGGCACAAGATAATTGCTGATTTAAAATCAGCATAAAAATACTATCAATTAAAAAAAAAACAGAGGTATTATGTAAATTTACAGTTAAACTAGTTTACAATTTCTTACCTGTAACTTAGATTCATTTGATTTATTGATGTCATGAATGTATTGAAAACAATGTGCATTTTCAATCAAGTATTCTGGATCGTTCAATGGGCCTATAAGGCTACAACATTGAATACATTAATAGTATTTATTAGCTATATATTGTGCATTAAACTGATAAATTGTAAAATATAAAATCAAATACTTAGAGTCAAAAATTTGAACAGGGTTTTGATTTACTATACTTGAACATGGTTGAGTAGATTGGTTTTGCACAAAAGTCTCGGCGTTAATTATCGACCTTTAACAAATAGAAAACAAATAATTATAGATACTGACTACTGTTTTGTATGAACACATATATTTAAACAAATACATACATGATAGACTTTAACAAATTGATTTAAACTATTCTAAAAAATCACATTCCAGGAATTATAAGTACTATAATATACCTATATACCTACTATAGAATTAGAACTACAGATACATAAAACATTCAAGTATTTTAAATATAACAACTTATTATTAACCAGAGCTATTTAATTAAAATACTGTTATAGATAATAGATTATAGTATTACCACAGTCCATAAAATATTTCGAACATGTGTTATCACTTATCAGTTGATAACTATCTGTAACAGCGGCACGTATACCTTATCACCGATAAATAAAAAGTATTCTCTTTCTATGTTATAACCATGATTTAAGATGGTTATAACATACTAGATTAAATAGAACCCGGCTTAAGGTTACCACCATTTAAATTTATTAATCCATCTTGGTTACCACTGTTAACATGGTAAACATTTTTAGTGATAATAATTACCGCCTGAAAATCATGATGCAGTGGATTGCGTTTCAATATTGGCGGGAAAATCTTTATTTTGTTCAAGGTTATAATCACAGACTTCATATTATGAAGTTCATAATATAGTCTGTGGTTGTAATGTTATGTTATGTTATATTATAGTTAAAGTATTTTGATTTTTGACAATACTGAATATTATACGTACGTATTATTATTATGGGAAATTAGTAATTACTTTTAAAGTAAAAACGTGATTCATATTAATAGTTATAACTTTTTATTGCATTATAATCATTCATTTAAATATAACACTGTTACATTGTACATTGTATACATTGGTGTTACCGTTGTTACAGGAGAAAAATGAGTGAGACTCCTGGTAAGTTGGTTTGGATTATATTTTATTAATAACATTGTATGTATGACTTAAATTTATTTGTTTTTATTTTTTCACCTAAAAAGAAACATCCAGACCCAAACGACAAAAAGTCGGCCAGACGAGTCGTTTTGAAGCATTGGCCAAATTGAAAAAACTTAAATCAGACGGCGTTAAACATAAATATGAAGTGGAACCATTGCAAAATGTTTATGAAGAAGTATCTGAAAAAGAATACACTGATAGGGTTGTAAAACGGCAACAAGACAATTGGATTGTCGATGATTGTAAATATTTTTACATAATATAATTGTTTTTATTTGAAGGGTTGGAAATTACTTTGATTCTTATAATAGGTGATGTTGATGGCTATATTGAAGATGGCAGAGAGATTTTTGATGATGATTTGGATGAAGCGTCGCTTGTCAAAGAAGAGAAAAAAGGTAGAGGCAAAAAAAGAAGTAGATTAGATACATCAGGAAATGAGGACTCGACATCATCATATCGAGATATTCAAAAGATGTTTGCTAATATGCCTATAAAAAAGAAAAAAGAGGTATTTATCTTTTACCATTAAGATTTTTAAAACTTCAAATTTTTAGGTAGCTTAGTTTTAGATAAATTATAAAGTATGACAATGCTATTAATATAAAAATCAAAATCTGCTTATGTTTGTAGGTACCAGTCAATTTAGATGACGATGATATTCTTGGTGATTTAATTCAAGAATTAGATAGTTCACCTAAACCTGGGATGTCTAAAACTCCACGTTTACTTCATAATAAAGTTGCAGATAAAATAAAAAGGGATAGCCAGACTAGGTAAAAAAATTAACTATTTATTAAAATATTACATGTCTTTAAACTCCGTGGATTTTACTGAACAATCTATACTTTAGTCATCTGAAATGTAAACTGTGCTACTATAGACAACCTGTTAGACAAGTAGTCGATTCTGTTTTTTTAAATAAAAATTTATCTCTCTCTTTCTTTATAAAATTGAAAGGGGAGCATGGTGTGTAAATAAAATCTAAACAAAAAAACTAATTCGTGAAATGTATATCAATTGTTCAACAGAGGCTATTTAGAATCTTTCTCCAACGTAAATAAACCTAGAACGCCAAATTCAAATGTAAAATCAGGCAATATTGTTAATGAAAAACCAGAAAAGAGCTCTTCTGAAGAAAAACAAAATCACTCAAATATAGAAGCTAATAGTCATGTACTAGAATCTTCAACTTTTAAACAGGATAAGGTATACTATTATTATTATTATTAGTAAATACAAATATTTTTATTAAATAATATTACATTTTTTTATTATTATTAATTTTTATCAGTTGTATGTTCATACAACTGATAAACATACTGATGAACATATTTAAGCTTGTTTAGTTAGATATTTAGAAAAATACAGTTATTTAAAATTTCTTGTAGTATTTTTTTGTATGGTGCTTATGACCAAAAGTAGGCTTGCTTAAACTTAGTTAGGTTTGTCAGGTGGCAGAATATTTAGATTGTACCATTTAGGGTTTTCAGCATTTAAGTTGGGAAATGCTTTCTCTTCTCCTAGACTAGTCTGATAGTATAATAATATGTTTAGTAGAGTGATCCTTTTATTAGTTTTCTGTGAAATTCCACGTTGGATATCTATCATTCAGCTCCCCGTGTTGAAAAATGTATTTCCCTAGTTTTTCAAACTTCCATTTTACCACCTTAGTCTCCTCATTTGCAGGTCAAATTTTAAATTTTATAGAAAAATTTACAATTTTTCATTAAGTTCCAAATCAAGCTTACTACCAGTATAATTTGATGGTTAACCAGGTATATACTTGTTGGAAACTCAATATTAGGTTCAATAAATCATGATTTCAATAAATATTCGACAAAAACGCTAATTGCCTTGTTATACATTTTTCTAGAAGTACACTCAATTAGAAACTTTTGCAAATTGGTATACTTTTCTATTATGAATAAAAACTTGAAAGTGGAAACAGAGTGGAGACCCAGGGATGAAATCAAAAATTAGGGAAATATTTATTTAACGTTGGAAGCTGTAATGATGGCCATCCAATACCATGTCTTATTTATGGACCAAGCTAATGTAAAATCCTTTGTTCAAAAGCAGTGTTTATCCTGTTGCTATTTGCAAGTGTATAACCATGTTTATTTTAATTTACAGTTTTGTTCCAAGTCTATTTTGTTGTAGATAATTAGTTCATTTGAAAAATTACTGAATTCTAAATACATTCTTTTAAAAATATTTTTCTTTAGTATTCATAAGACACTTCTACTGACTATATTTTAAATGGCCACTGATCTGTTTTTGCATATCAGTCCAAATTAGTTGCCATTTCTATGTGTTATTATTTGGTTGTATTTATCAAAAAACTCTGAAACTATGAAACTTTAAAAAAATGAAATATTTGAATAACTTTTTCTAAAAATTTGTTTAAAAAATCCTAAAAACTATTGGGTTTTTTTTATTTTTCTAACTACTTGTTTTTTTAAATTTTATTATTGTACACTCCTTTAATAAGCAAAGCTCGTGTGGGATGCTGATTTAAGAAATAGATCTTTCTTATTGCATAGGAATCAGACTTTAATAAAATTATAAAGAATTCATTATGGTTTTGATAATACCTTTTTTAATTTTTTAGTCTACACCAAGTGTTGAAGTTGTTATAAAACAGGAACAAATAATTCCTGTAAAAGAGAAAATAGAAGTAGAAAATGATTTTAATGATGGTCTTGAAGATTTTGATTTCGGTGACGCAATTGAGGTAAACATTTTTACGTATTTAAAAAAACATAAGTACACGGGTAAATACGAAAAGTGAATTTTAATTTATGGATCCTATTAAGTTATTACCATTATATGTTTTACAGGTACCCCTATATGTTTGTTATACTTTATTAAATAATAATCTTAAATATAAACTTGTTGAATTATTATATTTCATAGGCTGAGAAAAGTTTTGTAAAATTGTCAGAAACAAATATAAAAAAAGAATCGCCTAGTATTGAAACTAAAATTACTATTGACTTTGAAAAAACCAATTGGCCCATCGAAGAGTAATTAATCATTACTTTAATATATTAATTCATTTTAATGAATGTCATAATGGTCATACATATCTATTCATTTTTTAGTGTTAAAGAAGAAGAACAAGTTGCTTTACCTCACAACATAACCTCTAAATTACCCTTAATAGCTGACAAAAATGGTTCTCAGGTTAGAAAATCGTTAAAAATTGTACATTTAAATTTTTCATAGTAAAATTTAAAAAAGTTTTTTTTTTACAGGTTTACAGATTTTTTTACTTGGATGCATTTGAAGATGTTTTTAAACAACCTGGAGTTGTGTTTCTCTTTGGTAAAGTAAAGCCAGTAGATGTTGATGTATATGTGAGCTGCTGCGTAGTGGTAAAAAACATTGAAAGAAGAATGTTTCTTCTTCCTAGAAGCAAAGTAATATTAAAAACAACATTTTATTGTAATGAGTATTTTTACTAACATTATTTCTTTATAAGGCTACAGATGGGGAAGAAGTAAAAATGGTAGATGTATACAACGAATTTAATAGTTTAACTGATAGATATCATATACAGAATTTTAAATCCCGTAAAATAACCAAAAAATATGCCTTTGAACTTGCCGATGTAGCAGATGAGAGTGAATATTTAGAAATTAGGTATTCTGTAAGTACAAACAATATTAAACTAGGAAGTCAGAACGGGTCCAAATATTTCGATTATGGGATCTGAAGATGTACCTATTTTTTGAACATGTTTGTACCTGTTTTGATTCTCTGAATTATTAAACACTATTTACTATGATATAAGTGATCACAAAATAAGATTTTTTACTTTAGGCTTCATATCCACCTTTACCAGAGGATTTAAGTGGTAATACTTTTAGTCGAGTGTTTGGTACTAACACATCATTCTTAGAACTTTTACTTCTCGATCAAAAAATTAAAGGTCCATGTTGGTTAGACTTGAACAATCCTCAATTATCTAGTAATCCAATGAGTTGGTGTAAACTTGAAGTAAGGCTTTAGCAATTAGATTTTTTTCATTATTATTTAAAACAAATACTTCATAATAGATTAATTGCTTGGACATGAAAAATATACACTTGGCACCTTCAGCGCCACCTCCTCCTATGGTTATAATGACGCTCAATCCAAGAATTGCCTATAACAAAAAGTCTAGGCAAAATGAGATTCTAATTATTAGTTGCATGATACATACAAGTTTTCCAATAGATCAAGCTCCACCTACTCCTCATCATAATCAGTTCTTTTGTGGTAATAATATAAATTAAAATATATTTTTGAAAAAAAATATTCTAATTATTTAAGTTAAAGGTGTTTTTTTTTTTTTTACTATATTACTTTAGTTGTTACTCGACCAAATAACATTCCATGGCCACCTCGTCATCAGGAAGAATTGAAAAAATGCGGAGATCCCTCCAAACTAGTGAAAATGGATTCTGAACGAGCATTACTTACATTTTTCCTAGCTAAAATGTCTAAAATCGATCCTGATATCATTATTGGACACGATATTTGTAGTTATGTGTTATCATCTCTCGTAAATCGCTTGGAAGCTAATAAAATACAAAACTGGTCGAAAATTGGACGTCTCCGTAGAACAATGTTCCCAAAAAAAGTAATCAATACAGTTTGACATATTTTACTATATAACACGATTAATGTATAATTTTTTTTTCAGGGAAAGTTCATGAGTGAAAAAAGTGTGCTTAGCGGTCGTTTAATTTGTGACACCCAAATTTCTGCTAAAGAACTAATTAAAGCTAGAAGTTATGATTTATACTCTCTGTCTGAACAAGTTAGTTGCTATTTTTTTTGTTGATTTCTTGCAATACAAGTATCTATGTGTAAAACATTATTTTAGTTGTATGTATGTGATTGTAACACTATGAATAAATTCTATTTTCACTTTAGATTCTGGATGTTAAAGAAAATGAGCAGCTCAATTTGTCTGATGATGAAGTTAGTTATATGTATTGGTATGTGTATTTAGTTGTATAGTTTTACACTTAATGAATATAACATCAATAAAAGTGAACTAAAATTATCATTTATAGTTCTGCTGAAGCCTTGGTGCAACTTATTAAGTTTACAATAATGGATACCTCTTGTGTATTGCGACTTATGGTTCAAATGAATGTACTACCATTAGCACTTCAAATAACTAAAATAGCTGGTAATTTAATGTCGAGGACTCTCATTGGAGGACGAGCGGAAAGAAATGAGTATTTATTGTTGCACGCTTTTAACGAAAAGGGTTTCATACTACCTGATAAACAGTATAAAAAAAAAATAACTGCCAAAGTAATTAACATAGCTATTATAATAGTCAGTATTCACTATCCTAATCAAAAATAAAAGTGATCGTAAAATGTGGTTAAATCACAGGAAGAAGAAGACGGACATATTGATGGAGATAATGCAAAAAGACCTAGTCGTAAAAAAGCCCAATATTTAGGCGGCCTTGTACTCGAACCAAAAGTAGGTTTCTACGATAAAATGATTTTGTTGATGGATTTCAATTCACTGTATCCAAGCATAATACAAGAGTACAATATCTGTTTTACAACAGTTAGTTTTCGTACTCTTCCAGAAGTCGGAGAGGTAATATACCTATTATAATAATTCAACATTATTGTTTTTTATAATATACTTTTTTTTTTCAAGAATGAGGATGAAATAGCAGAATTATTAAAATTAACACCAAACTCAACTACAACTCGTGGAATTTTACCGGCTGAGATAAAATCTCTGGTTGATTCTAGAAGAGAAGTAAAAAAATTAATGAATGATCCAAAAATAACACCAACTCTTAGAGAACAAGTACAAAATAATAATTTTTTTAGTTTTTTTAAAAACTTATGAACATATTAATTAATTCTAGTATAATTTGAGACAAACGGCGTTGAAACTTACCGCCAACAGTATGTACGGGTGCTTGGGATTTGCCCATTCTCGCTTTTATGCTAAACCATTGGCTGCATTGATAACAGCCAAAGGGCGAGAAATTTTGACTAGTACCAAAAGTTTAGTTGAAAAACTAGCTTTTGAGGTTATTTACGGAGATACTGATTCGTTGATGATAAATTCAAATTGTGTTGATTTTGATCAAGTCATGAAAATTGGTTATAAAGTATGAATGATTATGCTTTTTCCCCAACTATAAGACTTCTATTCTTATTATTTTTTTTTTTCAGATTAAAGCAGAAGTTAACAAAATTTATAAACAAGTCGAATTAGATATTGATGGAATTTTTAAATATATGCTTCTGTTGAAGAAGAAAAAATATGCTGCCGTTTCTATTTCTAAAATGCAATCGGGAGAATTTATTACAAAACAAGAAATTAAAGGCTTGGATATTGTCAGAAGAGATTGGTCTCAGTTATCTCAGGAGGCTGGACGGTAATTTTTATTTTTGTTTAACTTGAAATTGCTAAATTTTCATTTATTTTAATTCATGGATTCTTATTTATTACAGATTTGTCTTGAGACAAATTCTCTCAGATCAATCACCTGAAGAAAGAGTGTCAAATATTTGCGGACAACTAGAAAAACTCAAGGGTGATCTAGAGGAGGGCAATGTTCCGTTATCATTGTTGGCTATTAGTAAAACATTAACAAAAGCACCACATGACTACCCAGATGCCAAAGCATTGCCGCACGTAGTAGTTGCTCAACGTCTTAACAAACAAAGCATTCAATTTAGACAAGGGGATACAATATTTTATGTTGTTTGTGAGGTACAATTGAAAATATATTTTGTACTAATAATAGTTAATACAATACACAGTGGGCCAGAGATGCTATTATTTTGACCAAATAAATCTTATTAAAAAACTTACTTCAAAATAAATTTTTCTTGATAAAATAGTATAAAATTTAATATTTCAAACAGTTTAGTGGTGACGTTTTGTCTTCCAAATTCAATATTAATAGTAATTAATCTAAAATTCAACTAAAAAATAAAAGTAGTTTGAAAATATTCCAGTTATAGTTCTCCACAAACTTGGGCATTTTTTATTTAAGAAATGAATATAAAAAACAATTTTTTCAAAATAATGAATTTGTTATAAAAAATTATAGTTAATCATTTTGGGTATTGGAGAATTAAAAAAATAATATTATTTGGCAAAATTCATACAAAACAATAAAATTAAGGTCTGATAATAAATTTTCAAATTAGGAACTCAGATACTTATATTAGGAAATTAAACAGGTTACTTAAAATTAATGTCTATAGCTTAATAATTGTTGTGTTCCTATTTTTAAGTGATCATATAGATCTTAATTAAATATAATTAAATTTAGGTGAAAATTAATTTTCATCCATGAGATCCACTGTGCAATAGTACAAAAAATATATAAGGACTTAAAATTAAAATTTGTTTTTATAAAGGATGGTACAAATCGGGCCTCGACACAAAGGGTTTACCACATAGATGAGTTAAAGACTAATACAGCTTTAAAAATCGATGTGAAATATTACTTGTCCCAACAAATTCACCCAGTCATCATGAGGCTTTGTGCCCCATTAGAAGAAATTGATGCAAAAATGATAGCTGAGCATTTAGGTAGTACAAAAATCCTTACTATATTTATGTAGACTCTGTAGTCTAATAGCATTTTATTATTAGGCCTTGATCCGGCCCAGTATCAAAATCATAAGTCAAGAGTCGCTTATGGAGACGTACCTGAAGAAAATACTATAGATTTAGATGATGCTACACGTTTTAATGATTGTGACAAGTAAATATTATAAAAAAAAAAAAAAAATTGATGCTCTTGTTCTGTGTACACATTGATACAAATAATAAATATAACATGACATTTTTTCTAGATTTACATTTACATGCTTAGGGTGTAAATCTGATGTAGTAATAACTGCTCCGGCTTTTAAAAAAGTAAATGACAATTTTCTAGTATTAAAACTATTAAAAGTTTTTCTTGATTGTTGTGGGCTTTTATTATTATCATTTTTTATAGGTGGACGGTAAATTAGAATTTAGCTTAGAAAGCTGTTCTAACCCAGAGTGTTGTGTTCCACCGTATAAATATGTTGGTATGGTTGAGACTAGTTTGTGGATGGCAATGAGAAAACACATGATAAAGTATTACAAGGTACAGAGTATGCTTATGATATAAATATATTTTGCACATGTGTTCAACTAATAGAATGTATATAATTTAAAAATGTATTGTGTTTAGAGTGACTATGTTTGTGACGAAAGTGCATGTGATTACAAGAGCAAAAGAACCCCATATACAAACGATGAGGTTTGTTCACAATGTGAATCGGGAACTATAAAAAAAGAAGTAAGTTTAATAATAAAAAATCCAGCCAAAATTGGGGTTAGGGAATTTACAGTTCTTCAGGACTGATTAGAACTAAAAGGAATAGAATCACTTTAAAATAAAAATATTGATGTAAAGTTATTGAAAATGTAAAAGAAATACATATAAATCATTTTATAGACAATAAACATATTTATGAATGGTGGTTTTCATTGGTAAAAAAGTGATGTATGTATTTTTTTTATGGTAACTTATGAGTTATTATTTTACAAACTTTGTTAAGATAATCTAATCATTTTTACTGATTGATTAGGAATTTTATTTGGGGATTATAAACGTTACCAAGCCAAAACCTACATAATTTTTTATAACTACTACATTGTGATAATATGAATTTGATTTTAAACTTTAAAAAAAGTCAATACATTTTAAAGATTTATTTTTGAAACTACATAAATGTTTATTTCCAGGGATAGTATTAATTATACATTATTCCAAAAATAACCATTAGTTTTAAAAATTTCATATTTTCTTGGGTTTTTGCTGTACTATATTAAAAAATATCCCACACTAATTTGGAAGAAATTAACTATTTTTCAAAAATGTATGACATGTCTTAAAATAAAATTAAGTAGAAAAATATGTAAAGTCTTAGGGTGTTTTTCAGTTTTTGATAATATTTTTTTTTTTAAACATCCTTTTTGACAGCCTTTTTGTTTGAAGTAAAAAATATGGTACAATTTGGATAATCCCATATTATATAAATTGGGTTAAGGGCCATTTTTGGTGAATTGCCTCTGGGACCAAAACTTTAAATCCTATCTTATACATTTCTGTTGTAATTACTGAATAAGACAATTGTGAATTTAAATGTAAATTTTTGATAGTATTAAATGTAAAATGATGTTACAATTATAATGTATTATTACAAGTATATAAGAAAAGTTATTTGTTTGTACACTAATTGCTATCAATAAAATGTTATTTTTTAGTATTCTGCCGGCCAACTTCTGTTTCAACTAAGGTATTACCTGTTTATATTTGATATTGACAAAGTACTACAACGAAACAAGGATATCAAATTAACTATTGATAGTCCTTTGTATACAGTTTATAGTAGGTTAAAAGCACAAGTAGAAAAAGTACTTAAACATCATGATTTTTACTATGTTAATTTAAAAGATATATTCGGTAAACATTAAAAATAATAATAATAAACTTGTATTTTAATATATTTATGTTTTTTTTACTCAGCATAATATGTTTAATTATTTAAAAATAGATTTTACCCATTGTCTTCTTATCCTATTGTTATATACTATTTATTAAGTATTTATTTATTGATATTTGTACATTTTTTTTTTTTGTAAGTAGATATTTAGATACAATTAGTATATATCTATGTATGAGCTAGAGTTGTTTTGTATATTTTACGGTTTACAGTCAAGTAAAATGAATGGAAATAATTTTTTTTTTAACAACTAAACTTTTTATTTTAGTTGAATAAACTTGTTGATAAAATAAATATCAATATTTTCAATTACATGTTTCTTTTTTTTGAACTTATGTAGTACATAATTGATACAACAAAATTCACAATAATTATTATTTAGAGGACGTCACACACCCGTTATTTTCTTTAAAAAACCCTCCTTGCGGGGCTTAATTTTTCAAAGGCTTTAATCAAAACTAAGACACCAAATTTTCACATATAGACAACAACATTGTCTGTGCTCTACTATCATGGACCATTTTTAATATTTTAACCAGTTAATGAATAATTAATTAATTAAGAAAGAACTTTTTTAAGAATGATATAGCGTCAGTTGTATTAGGTATATCGAAAAATACGGGTGCCGGAGCACAGATAATTTTGTCATGTTAATTATGTACGAATTTATTTCCTTAACTATATTTATGAAGCCTGAGTAAAATTAATCTGCGCAAAGCAGTTTTGATGGGAAAAAAATTGTATTTTATCCTATAGAAATTACTGTGATAGTCTAACAAAAAAAATGGCAATCAACAAAGTATCCTCATCAGTGTATTAATAAGTATACATTATAGTACAAATTCTAAATTAAGAGTTTTCGAAAAATTGCCTATACTTTACTCCTTAGAAATGGCCGGTGTGGCGTCCTCTTAAAAATGAATATAAATACAAACTTTTCTGTTAATATTTTTTTACAACAAAGATAAATTCAATAAATGTTTTATTTTAATCTATGAACTCTTTAGTTCTCTAAATGTACTTAAACACTAAAAATGGTGGACTGAGCTGGTGTATTAATGACTAGTATGCCACTTGCTGTTTTATGTTATGTAGCCGGTTTATATTAAGTTTGCGAAACGCATTTAAAATATGTCTACTGGAGCTGAGATCTTTTAATTTTAATGAAAGAGTCGTTAAAAATGTTTGAAAACGAAGTCTAAAGAGGCGGATAAATAAAATAATAATGCTGTATTTTTTCCACATTAGTGTTTATTTTATATTTCAAAATAAACCATACATAAATAATATAATATTTTGTTTAAATTATTGCTTTGCCATTTATTAATTCAAGTCCAAACACACATATAAGAGCTGAACTACAAGATCAATATTATACTTTTACTTAATTAATAGATAATATTGCTTTAGCACGGATTGATTCTATAATTAAATATTACAACTTAAGTCGAGTACCATATATTATATTAATGTTTGCCTATAACTTAATAGTATAAATGCTATTACACGTAATGATATCAAAACTGTTTTTTGTCAAATAATAATTTAAATAAAAATAATGATTGTAATGGATCAACTTCAACTATTATTCATAAAGACTAGTATCACTTGCGTAAAATCAACCACAAAACAAATTGTATTAATACCTACTTTTTTTATGTACATAAAAAAAAAAAAAAAAACTGACAGTGACAAAAAAAAATGAATAAAATTATAAATTCTATGAACGACTGGAGTATAGAGGAAGAAAATGTGCCTTAAACTTAAAATTAATTTATTGATAACAATACAATGTTATAATATGGCCAAAATCGTCGAGAGTATAACTGCTCTCGCTCGACTAGATTGTTATTACAAATAATGTGTACAGTGCAACCCAAAACTGACAAATACTATATAGAAATAAAAAAACTGTGCTTTTTATTATTATTTAATTATCTATTATTACTAACAATTACACTATATATTATTAATTATTACAATAAAACAGTCCTAGAAGTTTATATATATAATTCAATAAATTATAATCAAACATTTTTTTTTTTTACTAGATAATAATAGATTGTATTTCGTTACCCGATTGTGAATAACAGTCTAGTGTTTTTAATTTTAACTTTTAATAAAATACAACATAGTTAATATAAGTGGTTAACACGTAATGAAGGCAAAAAACGTGCAATTTTCATGCGCAAAAAAAAATATATAAACAAATTTGCAAAATGTACAGAAAACAAATATGATGTATATATATTTTTATATACACATATTAAAATTATATCTAAGTATCTGTACAAAATGAAAATATTTTTCAGATTTACTTTCTCTTTGGATATCGCTTAGCGGGAGAACAGGGCTAACTGATAGCATTTATATAATAATAAAAATAATTACAATATAGTGTCGTAGCAAGACGCCATAAAAAAAAAAAAAAAAATTAACGCGTGTACGTTAAGTTGCGTCTATTCAGGCAAACCAATCAACCATGGTGAAAGTAGTAATAAAATAATCATTATTTTCGTAGTCGACTATTTGGAAATTAAAGGTTTGTCATCGAATCGACAGTGAACAAACATTTAAATTCGTGTCGACAACACAAAATAATAATAATAATACCAAATTCAAGTTTCCGTAATAAAATGAAAAGAAAAACATGAATTTGAAATGTATCTATGCATTAACCACACTACGGTTTTGTCAAATCGTGATTAATAATAAGAATAATAATAATAATAGTAAAAAGTATTGGTAACAGTCGCAATTATAAAAAAAAATATATATAAAAAAAAACAGTAGACGTGATACAAATGATTAACAACATAAAGTCATTTGAGTGAAAAACAAATATACTTATTCCTCGATACTCGTTTTCGTTTGCAGACTTACTTACAGTCAATCAGCGCAAATCGGGTCAGTATCGTATACGTTGTATTATACGACGTTTACGGTACTGATCCGATTCGAAAACCTGCGGCCAATCGCTAATAAAAAAATCCGAAACAAGTTAAAAATTGTATAAAATAATTGGAATTAATTGGAACAATATAAACACATGATTATTATTTTTTATTATGTACACGAAACGTAAAACGGTTTCAAATATTTTCAAAGTTGAGTATCAAGGAGATTGGAAAAAAGAGAGAAACGCTGCAAATAAAAAGTCTCTTCTAATGATAAACGATTACGCCTACGTGGTGGGAATGGTAGGTGTGGGCAGGCGGATGACTGTTTCAGTTGCTACTTTTGATGCCCAACATCTTCGCGGCGTCTTCGGGTGACTTAGCCTGCAGCACCTGATCGATGACTGTGCTGTCCCGTATGCCCAACAGCGTGCCGATCAATCCGGTGTCGGCGCGATTGCTGTCCTCGTACGACGACAGTGAAAGCGAAGACGCCGGCACAGGCGGGCTGGAACTACGAGATCTCTGGTCGTGATCGCTGCTGTAGCTGTCGTGCATGGCGGTGCCGCCGCCGTGTTTTTTGGCTATGTGTCGGACCATGCTGTGCTTAAGCGTGAACCGACGCTTACACGACTGACATGCGAACGGCTGTTCCTTGGTGTGGGTGCGCATGTGACGGCGCAAGTCCTCGGCCGAATAGAAACGGTGCAGACAAAAAGCGCACAGGACCTATGTAATAAAAAAAAGTAAATGCAATTAATAAAAGATAACGAAACAAATGACAACACGATTAAAATTATTATTTCCGATATTCGTACCTTTCTGTTTTCCACGTCGTCCTGTTTGGCGGCCGACGAGTCGTGGTCGTTGTCCATGGCTCCCTGGGACACCAGTATTTCGTAACACTCTGCGTGGTTGATCCTGATGTGGTCCAGGGCGTTCTGCCGCTCCAGGTAGCTGCTGTCGCACAGATGGCACTTGAAGCAAGGTTCGGAACCGGTCGCGCTACAGTTGCCCACGACGGCTGCGGCTACGGTTGGGGGTGCGGTGTAGTCCCGTTCTAATTCGGCGTCATCCATTCCCTCGCCATCGCCTCCACAGGCGGAAGTAGCGGCTGTCGGTCCGTCGAGTTCATCGTCGTCGCCGTTCTTTTCAAAGTGCACCCGGTTGATGTGGCTGATCAGGTTCTTGCGTTTGGAGAACGTAGTCTTAGGGCACGATGTGCACTTGTACACGTTTTTAGTGTCTGACGAGGACGCGACTTCGTCCGAATTAGCAGGGGCGGTCAGCTTGCTGGCCGGCGTACAATGCAGTCGCAGTATGTGCCGGTCGCGATTCGATTTGGTGGAGAACGACAGTGGACAATGTTTGCATTGGTACGGCTTTTCGCCGGTGTGTGTGCGAATGTGACGCTTCAGGGACGACGTCCACGGGAACGACAGGTAACAGAACGGACAGAGAACCCTATTGGGGGCGGCTGCATATGCGCTCACCTTCTTTCGTTTTTCCCGGCTCTCGTCCTTGTCGTTATTAAAGTTAATGTCCGTGTTGCCGTTACTGTTGTTGGCACTGTAAAAGTTAGAAAACAATAAGTACAAATTCTATTTATTACAAAAAAAAAATGTTTTTATTTTTTTTAATGCGCTTACTGGTCGTTTTCGGAATAACTAGCCCCTTCGCTATGCTCTTCTTCGCTACTGGTGGCCTCGTTGTGATCTTCATCGGATCTGTTGAATTGCGGGAACGTCTGGTGCGTAGCGTTGTCCAAGAGTCTGGACACGCTGGCCAAGTCGGCCAATTCCTCCTTGACCTCGACGGCAGGCTTGTCACCAACAACGCCGTCTTCCACTATCACCAACTTGTCTTCCTCCATTACGTCGTCTTCGTCGTCACCGTCGTTGTCGTTCAAGTCGGGGTCGTCTTCTTCGTCGTGCTCGGACGACCGTTGTTGTTCCGGTTTTTGACATTTAAGCGATATGGCCATCTTAATGTGATCCGAAATCGGGGGGAGGTCCTGTTCGTGTCTGATGACGGCGAATTGCGGCTCGCTCTTGGACAATGACCGAGGCTTCTTGTGCCAGTCTGTCGGATGCTGGTTCTTAACGTGCCTGTCCCGGTTCGACTTGAGCGTGAACGCCCGCTTACACGTGTCACATACGTGAGGCCTGTCTGTTCTAAAACGTCGCTGTTTGGGTACGAGAATGCCGTTTTTCATAACCAGTCTAAGTCCGTTGGCGTCTTTGGACTTATGCGGTTCGGCCGCGGCGGGCGGTGACGTCTGGGCCACCACCGACGGTTCCGGCGTCTCGGGCGGATTGGCTGGAACGTCGGCTTCCAAGGCGGCGGGCGGTTCGTTCATTTGACGCATAGCCCGAATCATGTCCACGGTGAGCGGTATGGGTAACATTCGTTCCGCGTTCGGGTACATGCCGTTAAAAAACATCCTGTGCTCGTTCAGGAAGTACGCGTGTAACGGGGTGGGCATCGACAAGTCTATATTGTATCCCGGGCCGGGCTGCGACACGAACTGTTCTGTGAACGACGCGGGCTTCACATCCTCGTCGTCTGTGGTCTCAGACTTCACGTGGCTGTTGACCGACAAGTCTTGGGGCTCGCAATCAAAGTCGGGTTTGAAACGTTTAACGCTCAAGTCCAGAGGCTCATCAAATTCTTCCTCGTCGTCCGAGCTCTTCTGGCCCTCGTATTGGGAGTAGTCCATTTTGTTTTGGTCAGGCTCCCTCTTGACTTCAACAACGCCGCCGTCGCCACCACTACCATTGGTTTGTTCCGCGGGCTTCTCTTCATTTTTGAACAATATGGACGTCTTGACTTCAGCGTTGGACGCTTTATGTATGGTCCTGAGGTGTCTCTCGCAGTTGGCTTTGGTGGTGAACGCGTAAGAACACTTTTTGCACACATACGGCGTCTCACCGGTGTGGCCTTTCATGTGGTGGTTGAGTGACGCTTTTTCGGTGCTGGCGAACTCACATATGTTGCAAGCGTACAGTCCGTTGGTGGACTTGTTGTGGCTGGACGAGTTGTGGCCCTTCAGGGCCCGCAGGTTGCCGAAAACTGTTGAGCACAGCCTGCACGTGTACGTGCGTTTGCTTTTCACGTGGCTACTGTGGGTGCGTTTTGCGGGCGACTGGGACAGGAAACCGGCGGCCGTCACGGACAACGGGATCTCATCCTTGGGCGAGTTTCCGAAGTACGAGTCCTTGTCCGATGGGTAACCGTCACTGAAGTCCGTGCTGCACGTCGAGTCGCCGTTGTACGCCGACTTAACGGGAGTGACGTACTGCAACGGACGGTCGGGACTGTTGATTTTCATCGGCGACTTGACATTGTTGTTGTAATTGTTATTATTGTTGTTATTGTTGTTGTTGTTGAACTCTCGGTGGTAATACGATTTGGCCGACAAGTTCTGCGGCTCCGAGTCCATGTGCGCGGTCTGCAAGTGCAGCCGCATGCTGTACGTGGTGGAAAACACGGCGCTGCACACGGGACACCGGCTCTCTCTCTTCATGTCCAATACGGTGTTGCAGAATAACCGTTGGCGCAAATTGTCTACTCGCAGCATTTCCGAAGACATATCCTGAGAAATCTGAAAACAAAAACGACAAAGAAATCCGGATGAGAAAATCGATTCGTGTGGTCGGAATAGACAATGGAGGCACCGCCTTAGGGGTATCGATAGGAGAGATGGGCGGAAAGGGAGGGAGGGAGGGGGGGAGGGGTTAAAGGAGAAGGAGGCCTACATGGAAAACCTGTCACTATTGTTAGTATTATTACTACAACGTTTCGCGGTGGTTATCATGGCAACGGGAGTGGTAACAAAAGTTCAACCGCCCTCATAACAATTTTGGTACACAACAAACGCGTACATAACGTTGTAGATATATGCGTGTAAACGAAAAGAAAGGTCGACCGGTCCCGTCGGAGTTCATTCGTACGCGCGTGCGAACGTGAGGGGCGGCGGCGACAAGGTGCGATCGTAACCAGCAGGTGTTTGCAAGTGGGCAAAAAAAAATTCTTAATAAATAAGTAGAGCGCATTATATGCATATTATACTCTATAGTGTGTAATCCGCCGACAGGAATACGGGATGTGTACACGGCCGTCGATCGATAATCATGACAACACTAGTTTTTTTAAATATTTTTAAGCTCGAATCCAACACACATTCATAAAAGGGCGTTATTTTAAGTATATACAACAATGAATTGACTAATCGACACGATAAATTAAAATATCGTTGTTATATAATAGTGTACACAAAAACAACGTCTGTAGGGGGATACCGCTATTATAAACGCTTTAAAAGGCCGCGGCCACCTAACAGCGATTGTTGTCAGTGTTGACATTAGCCTTTGACACCGTCGGGAAGGGATCCGGTACGGTTCGATTTATAGAGGGTCGTTCGCCGCATCATCTAGAACCCTGCCCTCGCAATCGAACAACAATACAATAATATAATCCTCTTTTAATAACAATAATGCACCGGCGGCGCCCCGAACAAGTCCTACACACATCACTGTATTGAGCGCGCACGCCGCACCGAACAGGTCTTTTGGTGTAGAATTTCATACCTCTTCCTGCTGTTTCCCGAGGGACGTCGTTGACTGCAATAACGATCATAATTATAATCATAATCGAAGGAGTTATTTAATTAATTTTATTTTTATTTTGATCACATCCGATCGGATGCATCTATTTGCCATAACGCCGGTGTAACCCGACCCGACCGGCTGTTATTTCATTTTTAATCTACACCGAGAACGAACAACAGTACAATATCATATAATAATTTATAATATACTGAAAACTGTATAAACGATAACGTCGTTCGGTAAGCAATTAATTAGATTAAAACGCGGGTGGACGACCCAACGCGTTTTCTTGTGTCCAAACAATCCCTTCATGGTTTTCACGGCCAGCGGAGGTGAGTTTTTCGGTACAATACAAAATGTAATAACAAGCAAAGCGGAACGAGCAGTAAAAATACATCACGTTGACCTGTAGGTACAAAGATCCGGAGTTGGTTAAAATACGAATCGGAACACGTTTTAGTTGTTTTAACTTTTAACCGCCGGTTAAAAAAAATACATCTTTTTCAGAGTACACCATTCGTTGACTTGAACTGGTGTCGGCGGCGGCGGAAACCTATAATGATGTTATTGGGTGTCGAAATCCATTTATACGGACTGCACAATCCAATTACTTAAGTACCGCCGTGGAGGAAAAATCGAATCGAGGTTGTTTAAAATTATTGTTTTTTTCCCCTATACGTTCATTATAATATTATATAAATATAAATACACAGTGACCGGCAGGTAAACCGAATCGGCCAAAGAGGGTGTACGGGCCCCGCTCGCAAAGGGGTGACTCCCTCATAAATACACAACAAACAAAACAGAGGGGTTGAAGTCGCCAACAAGGGCAGGAGTGTACACAACAATAGCAGCCTCTCTGTCGAGTTGGCACATCATTCACACATACTATTAATCGCGTCCTACACCGATTAGCTAATAAGTCAATAATAACAATATTGCGGTACATACTGCACGCTATTATTATTATTATTTTGTCTACTACACGCAGGCCGAACTTAAGAATTATAATGAATATGTGTCGTTTCGTATATAAGCAAGCAGGTATAATTCTGTTGAGCGGATTTGTAGATGTATTTTTTTTCTAGGTCTTCCGGATTTTGCGTTAAATTATAATATTTTCCTTTTTTTTTTTTTTTTTGCTAAAGATGACCGAGTAATTATTACTATTCTGTGGAAAAAAAGAAATAATCTCATACAACCGAGTGGTTACAACAAGACCGGTGAACCGTACAAGGCGAGCACGCATGTATTATTATTATGCAGATATCTCTATATAATATTATTATTATTATTATTGTTTACCGACAACGATGGGCATGATAATTGTACATAAATATAATATGCGCTGTTGAGTTTTTCCCAAGGTATATGTGTGCGTTGATAAAAGATGGCGACGGATGCTGATCATTGATGGGAAACAGTGTGTAATAAAAGGTATGGGCCAGCGGCCGGTCGTGGAGGACATTCGACGATGGTAGGTATATTATGTATAATATTAAGTGTAATGATGATTATTATTAACGTGGGCGGTGGCGGCGGTGCAGGAGTAAGGGAAGACCAGTTTTTTTCCAAGACCGTCGCGTGGCTATACTTCTTCTTCTTATTCACCTTGGGCCGACTCGCACGGTCGACCTCTCGCGATGAAAAACGTTTCCAACACACATACATGTTATAAAGAGGAAGAGCTATTTTACTTGGTTCGTCTGTTGGCTAAAATACTATTTGAAAATGTATTTTTGAAAAAAAACCACCGTCCGTACAGAAACGGCACAACATTGCGCGACGCACCTATATGAGAAAACGCTATGTTTTTGTTTTTTAATTGAACCGTATGTAATCCGAGTGTAAGAGAATGGCAATAAACAAAAAAAAGAACCCAAAATAAGCGCGTTAAGAAGAACGACGACGGTATAAAAAAAAAAAAATTAGAACAATCGGTTGTGACTTGTGTTGCGGCACACACACAAAAACGTAATGACCCAAAAAGGTGTCGTCGACGGTCGATGCTGATTCGACGAAAATCGCGGTTTTCAATGAGTAAACGCCAACTGGACGTCAGTGCCATTATTCGTACCGTATTGATGTCACGCGGTGTAGTATGTAAAAAAAACGAAAAGGGGAAAGGGTAAAAATAGCGTTTCCTGTCGCCCCCGAATCGGTAAATACGCATATTACCTTTACCGGATAGTAAGTATTTTTTTTTTTTTTTACCAACATTTCACCGTATGCGAACTTCACGGAATTGTCTTTTTAACCGTACAACGTTTAACTGCAGTCGACCACATCCCAATGTCCACGGTCATGTGTGTATATACATATATATATATATATATATATATATATATATATATGAACAAAACTTAAACGGTTATTTTATTACACAACCTACAATAAATTTGTATTAGACTTACTTACACAACATTTTTTACAGGAGAACGAAACGAAAATTACACTTTTAATGTAATTCTTATTGGCGACGTTCATTAGTTATGTTCAATATACCGTAATAAAAATGATAAGACGAGCTCATATAGAAAAAGTAAAGAACGGTCCTAAAGTTCATTTTTAAAAAAAACGCATTAGTATATACTTTTGATTCTCATAGTCTCATCAATTGAGTTATTAATGGACAAAAATGATTACAATTTTAAACACATGAAAACAAACAGAAGTTTGTGCTAGCACGCCCTGAAAACAATAGGAACTTGCTGGCGAATATTGGAAAAAGGGTGTCGTTTTCTCGATTGACCTCGCCCGCCGTCCAGTTGTAAGTGATGTGTACTGACCGCCAAAATTCGATAATATTTACTACAAGTTTCCGGATTCGTGACAATATTTATGGAAAACCAAAACTATATTCTATTACAATATTGAATACGGCAGGCGTTCAGCCATCATAATATTTGTATATATTTTATAGTGTTTCTATTAAGCGCCTACAACCGTACGGATAACCACTATGACCTTCGGCCAGGCCGAATTTTCTTCTTATTACATTGTGGACTCGGACACGAGAAACTAAGTCTTATGTTACACTCACTCAACCGAACGATTCGTTTTCTACATGTTGAACTTTATAGTTTTTTAATTAAATTAAGTATAATTTCGTACTAGTTTAGGACCTAATAATTGTCTCTCAAGTCAGCTTAGTTTATGAAAACAGAAACGGTCGTTCAAACGCGAGCGTGTAAAATAATAATAATAATAACAATAAAGACCGTCTTGTGGCTGTAAATTTCTCCGGTGCGGTGTTAAAAAAAAACAACATAATATATATATATAATAATGATGTTTATATTGGCGAAACGCATATTTGAATGAAAATCGCTTGAACGACAAAACGCAACGGTATTGTCTAATAAAAAAAAAAAAAAGAATAATAATAAATTTAAAAATACAACAAACGAAAAATCTATTTAGCGACACATTTTTTACAGTAATATTTTATTATTATTATTATAATTATCATTAAATATATCATGTGTACTGTGTTTTAATGTACCTATAGTTGCATTATTGTTATAGGAAAAACAATGAAGGAAGATTAACGCGTTAATAATAATTATATACGGTTTAAGCAGCGGCGGCGGCGGCAGTGCAGCTGTTTTCAGAGCAATGATCTGCGGGGCACGTGCTGCTGCTGTTGCCCCTGTACAGCTGCACAATCACCTGGATAATAACAACCACCCACTACAAACGGGCCCAAGATGATAATGGTACACGGTATGTATATAATAATAAAATAATATATACAACAAACACCTTTTTGTCGCCTTTTATACACACTCACAAACATGCAGACAAATACACGCACGCGGTTCTCTCTTCTTCGACGTGGCTTGTGTCAATAATAATTAATATATATTTTTAATTTATTTAATTTCAATTTTTTGTGTTTTGTTTAGTCTTTTTTTATACGCTTTTTTCCTAGTATTCCGAAACTCGGTGAAACGATTACAAAACAGAACGCGACCGATGCAGATGGAGTGTC